CGCTCTCTACTGGTCGAACGCTTTGCTCTGGTACCAACTGGTTATCGCTTATGTCAATGCAATCCTTGATCGCGGCGTCTTCGTTCAGGCTGGAGTCGGCTTCACTATGCTTGGTGCTGCTGCTATCGGACGCTTCAAGGACATCGAGTTGGGTTTGTCCTATGGCGATATTGCACAAGAGTTTTATACCATGTTTGACGACGCTTGGACACGTGGTAGAGGCTGGACGTTGTACACCCTCTTTATTGGCCACTACCAGACACCAGTGCGAAACCTTCTTCCTATTTTGGATAGTGCGCTCGAATATTCATTGGGATCCGGGGACAAGTTTGTCAGCATCCTAAACATCGGAGCCATGGCCCTTTCAAGATTCTGGGCCGGACAAGATCTCGCAGAAGTGGAGGCTTTCTGCACTTATGGTCCGGAAGAATTTGACGACTGGGACAAAGATCGGCGAGGAGGAACGCTTCTGACTGTAATCAGACAGGTCTCACGGGCGCTACAAGGCAAAACTAAAGCGGTAGACGCCGCCACTCTTCTAGATGATGAAGATCATAAGAGCGAGACTTGGTTGGCCGAGTGCGGGAAGTACGCCGCCAATGCCCGACGTTCGCGCGACATTTTCCACGCCGTGTCGCTTGTCGCTTATCATTTGATGGGATATCATGAGTACGTGGTCGAAAAAGGAAGAGAGTTAATTGCCGGAAGTCTTGACGAGCTTTGGTCTAATAGACCCGCCTGTGGCACTCGCTTCTACCTAGGTCTTTCCCTCATCGCCCTTGCAAAGGAGAAGCCTGAAGAGGAGCGTGGACCTTATATCGAAGAAGCGAAGGAGTTGAAGCGCTTTATCGATGACTGGGGAAAGGTCAATGATGTGAACTACTTTGCCTGGTCCAGGATACTCGATGCCGCTATTTCCGATGTGACCAGGGTATACTACAACGTCATCTCCAACCTCGAGATGGCCATTGACCATTGCCAAGTGCACGGTTTCGCCATGGAAGAGGCGCTAGCCGTGGAAATGCAGGCCGACTTCCTGCTCCTGCGAGGAGCTAAGAGAGCTGGCAAAGTCATGATCCAGGAAGCCATTGCCGCTTGGAACCGAATCAATGCGTCAGGGAAAGCTCGACACCTTCAAGAAAAGCATGAGTGGCTGATCAAAACTGCCACCACCTCGAGAACTATGGACGCCGCTACTCAAACGCAAGACTTGCACTCATTGACCGTGGGCGAAGACGCGCAGATCCAGAACAAGCGCGAATATACGAACCAATGGGTGCAGCCAAAAGCAGCGGTTGCGAATCAAACTCCCCAGGACGTTCCTGGCCTTGGACTGGACATACTAGATTTAACGTCTATTCTGGAATTCTCCCGGGTCATAAGCTCAGAGCTCCAAATAAACAATCTTCTGTCCAAGATGATTTCCGTCATCCTCGAATCCGTCGGTGGCCAAGCAGAATTCTGTGCAATCGTCATCGATTCCGAGGATCAGGGATGGTGTGTTGCAGCAAGCGCAGATCACGAGACAGGTGTCAAGACTTATCCAGACGGGATTCCATTTTCCGAGGTTGACGATCAGGCCGCACAGCAGATCACTCATTATCTCCTACGGACCAAAGAAACTGTCTTCGTGCAGAATGTGCTCGAGGACGATCGCTTCTCCAATGTAGGTGACGCTTACTTGGCAAGGAACCCTCACGGACGCTCAATCATCGCCATACCCATCATCCAAGCTGATCATTTGATGGGCGTCATCCATCTAGAGGGGCGGCCAAATGCCTTTACCCAGCGCAATATGATTGTCCTCAACCTCCTCACAAATCAAGTCGCCATCTCACTCGGTAACGCGCTCCTTTACAGGAAGGTTCGAAAGGTTAGCGCATCGAACGCGAGCATGGTCGAATCTCAGAAGCGAGCTCTAGTGGCAGCGCGCGAGGCTGAAGCTAAAGCTAAGAAGGCGGAAGCGGAGGCTATGCATAACGTCAAATTGAAAGAGGAGGCCGCCAAAGCGAAGTCAATCTTTCTCGCCAACGTCAGTCATGAACTTCGAACTCCCCTCAATGGCGTGATCGGTATGTCTGAACTGCTCAAGGGTACCCCTTTAAGTAAAGATCAAGAACAATACGCGGACAGCATACGAGTGTGTGCCGATACCTTATTAACCGTTATCAACGACATTTTGGATTTTTCCAAGCTCGAGGCCGGCAAGATGCAAATGTTCACGGTTCCCCTAAATCTGAAGGAGACCATCACCGAGGTGGTCCGAGCGCTAGCCTATACCAACCAGGAACATGGACTTAAAACCGTCGAAGACCTCCAAATAGATGACAACTTGGTCCTAGGTGACCCAGTCCGACTCCACCAAATTTTCATGAATCTCTTGAGCAATGCCTACAAATTCACTCCCAAGGGCTCAGTCACGGTCAGAGCTCAAAAGAACGCCGAAACGAGAGACAGAGTCAAGATTACTTGCTCTGTTGCGGATACCGGTATTGGTATCACCAAGGAGCAGCTGTCGCGCCTTTTCCAACCGTTCTCGCAGGCCGATTCGTCCACAGCACGTTCCTATGGAGGTAGTGGCCTTGGTCTCAGCATCTGCAAGGCCATGATCGAAAACGTGCTCGGTGGTAAAATTTGGATCGAGTCAACACCTGGTGTCGGCACGACGGTGTCATTCACGCTTACCTTCCACAAGGCACCAAAGAACAGCAGTGTGCCCAACGAAATTCAAATCTCAGCTAAGGATCCAGACCCAATGGCGAATTGGTCACAGTCGGCCAGTCCAGAGACAGAGCAGAAGACGTACAGTTTCTGCGACTTGAGCAAAGTTCCCCGGGAAGAATTGCGTGTTTGCATTGCCGAGGATAACCAGATCAACAGAAAGATTGCCATTTCGTTTGTCAACCGACTTGGTTTGAAATGCGAAGCGTATGAGGATGGGAAGCAGGCGTACGAAGCATTACAGGCCAAGAGTAAGGAAGGGAAACCTTTCCACCTAGTACTGATGGATGTTCAGATGCCTGTGCTAGATGGCTATGAGGCGACCAAAGCGATCAGAGCCGATCCAGACCCTAACGTAAGTCGGGTTCTGATTATTGCCATGACGGCTTCGGCAATTCGAGGCGACCGAGAGAAATGTCTTGAGGCAGGAATGAATGATTACCTTGCCAAACCTGTCCGGCAGACGGCTCTGAAGGCCATGCTAGACGAGTATCTCCAGAGAACCAAAGTAGCGACAGACAACTCAGCCAAGAGCCCTGAATCTAACCCGACCCCTGGTGACGGTGTCAACGGTTCAGCAGAAAGCGGCAGCAAGCCACCCAGCCTGAGTGCAAATGGCGGAGGACCACCAATGAATCCACCAATGAGCCCGGCAGAAAGACCGAAACTACGACGCCCGTTTAAAAGAGTGATGAAGAAAGTCGAAGCCAGCATTGCGGAAGTGAGTGAACACTCAAATCACGAATCCAAGAGTTCAGGCGCAGAGAATAGTGGAAACCGGGCGCCGAGTCCTCCGAGTGGAAAGAGAGAAACAGACGAATTAGGAAAGATCACTTCGGAGCAAGTTACTCCCAAACCCGCGCTCAACGTTGGCATGTCGGCCGTCAATGGGCATGGTAATGGTGAGATGAATGGAACAGGGCACGGCACTGAGGAAATGGTGCCGTCGCAACTCCTGACTCAGCGGTCAGCAAACGCAGACCACACGAAGGCGGAACAACCGTGAAGAGACGAACTGTATACTGTTTAGAGCATCGGGATTGGTATGATGACATGATGACAGCGTATGGCGCATGGCGTTGTGGATATAGAGGGAGAGAGCTGGGATGGCCCGATATTTCCTGATTCATCGGATGCATTGATCGGCGCAGGGAGACTGGATGATTCTCGTCGCCTCCCATGGGCCTTGGCTGCTGAGGTTGTGCGTTCTTTGTGGGCATTCGGCTTGGCTGGGAAAGCTTTCGTTCGGGTGCATATAGTGCTTAGCAAGGAGCATGGGGATATCTTGCTGATACGGCTATCAACGAGATATGTGGTGGCTAGCCTTCTTCCCTACGCATAAAATGAGAAGACTTCGACCAAATGACCCGACACTGATACCATTGACTGCGAGTCTTTGTTGGAGCGACTCATCCCATAACCGCCGTCGTTGCTCGGTTCAAAAATAGACTAGTAAGCGCAGGTATGATGTTGAGTCCCGACCAATCATGTCGACACTTGGGCTCGGCTCCGATTCATCTTCAAACCACTGCAATTTGCGGCAACAAGCGCGAGGAGACAAGACTCACCTTGTGCGACTCATCCAACGACCATCCATGATACTGTACCTGGCCGAGCTCTGAAGCTGAACAATATCAGACACAGCCTCGATTGCGGACACTGGGATCCCCGTCCCGCCGTCGACTTGTATATTTCTGCGCCAGACTGGCCATTTCCGTCCTCCCGGACCAAGACACCACTCCTGATCAGTTTCGGTTGCCACGATCCAGTCCATTTTGAGGGAGATCAACGAGGATCTTGACTTCTACTGGATCCTACCCGAGAGCCCATCTTTGTTTCAGCCTTCCCTATGTCCAGCTCATGTTTCTCCATCCTTGGAGCTGGATGCCATGAATACTGTCCAAATTCGATTCACAACGGTAACAGTACGCCACTTGGTCATTACGCGCGCCATCTGTCTACTCGCCTTCAGGATGTCTTATGTTTGGACCCGCTATAGCAAACTCGTATGGCAACCAGTTGATGCGTGGCCTCTAGTTGGCCTTCCTCCAGCAGAGCAGTTCTTGCTGATACAAAAAGGTCCAATTCTTCCTCAAGGATGTCGCAACCTTCATCCTCGCCCACCACAAAGTTTTCGTCTCTTGTGCTTTGATTTCCTTTTCTTTTCCCTAACAGTCCTTCGTTGTCCACATTCGCTTCCCAAGAGGAGTCCATCGTTAACGACACAACCCGGTTCGCTCGTTCATATCCCTTTCTTTTGATATATCATAATCGCCATGATGAAACCCGCATTGACTGCTGGTCTCGTGGCCTTTGTTTGGTTCATACAGCATGCTGGTGCGACAAGCTGGGGCGATTCCCCAAGCTTTTCCAGCGTTTCCAATACCAATAACAACTGCACGGCTGATCAACAAAGTGGGTTTGACTGGTCTGGTCTACCCACAGGTTCGTTCAACAACTATGGAGGGTTTGGCTTCAGCGGATTTTCCTGCCAGAACTCCTTTCAACCCAATGCAAAGAAAAGATCCCTTCGCATTCGCGACGATTTCCAGGTAATTACAAAAGCCTGTGGAGATTTAAATATCACTTACTGACGGGTTGCCAGTCTAAATGCATCCAAGGCAAAGTAAGCAAATCCTCCAACAGTGGTCCCAACTTTTCTTGCGGCCAAGGCCAGTTCTCGATCACGCACATGCAAGTTTCCGTTTCCTTTGACACCGATCTGGATTTCATCTTCTCCATGCCTGATGGCTCTACTTGCAAGCACACCGCATCTTGCAGCGCAAGCGGTACCACAGTGGAAAACACGCAGTGCGGCGGAGCTAGATCCGTGTCCTTCCAGATGCCTCCCAGCAACAACAATAATGGCTGCGACATCGGTATTCATTCGATTGGCTTCGATTGCAACCTTTCCTCATCTTCCTCTTCCTCGACAACTACAGCTCCAGCTACTTCTACCACTACCATCCCTGTAACCACAACTACAACTCCAGCTGTGATCACAACCTCACAAACTGAGACGACCACCACTACGCCAAAGGTCGACACAACGACGACTCCGCAGGTTATCCCAGTCACAAGCAGCTTGACTACTACAACTTCTCCCAGAGAACAAGTCACGTCGAGCACCACGTCTGTTCCCGATACAACTACAAGCCCGCCTCGGGAAACTCCGAGCACTTCAACAACAACTACGACCACGCCGCAGGAAACTCCAAAAACTACCACAACTATGCCTTCTTCTACTGCGCAGACCCCGAGCTCTTCAACCACACTCAACCGGCAGACTACTACCAGCTCAGCCATTGTCACCACGACAACGGGTGATAGAACGCCGGGAACGAGCTCAACCGAAACTACCACTGACGTGATTACGACGGAAATTGTTGTGACGACTCTCACGACATGTCCCGTAACCAACACGCGCACAAGTGGCACTGAGACCGTGACCGAGACTACTAATACTATCTCAACAATCACAATTACTTCAACTTCCACAGTCTGCACTCGTTGCAATCGACCTCCACCATCCACCCTTTCTACCGCCGCACCACCCCCTGCCACTACAGAGACAAATCCGGGACCCCCACCTGGAACCCCTCCACCATCTTCGTCCCCAGAAACTCAACCTCAAAGCCCGCCACCATCATCACCTGCTTCACCTCCGCCATCTCAGTCACCACTACCTTCTCGAACCCCCTCTCCGCCATCCTCGTCACCACCAGCTGTGCCTCCGGCGCAACCAACATCCCCATGCCCCTCGGTACTCCCCTCTTGCATGAATACCTGGCTTTCTCTGGTACCCAAATGCGCCTCAAACTCTGATACAACGTGTCTCTGCCCTTCCCCACAGTTTATCAGCTCTGTCCAACAATGTGTCTCGGCTTGGGGAAAGTCTGATGAAGAGATCACTGCGGCGTTGTCGTACTTGGCGGGGATATGCGCGGATTTTGTTCCCCAGAATCCGGGTATCTGTACGGGCGTACCAAGCACTATCACTCTTGTGCCTACGCCTGCCCCTACTGGGTCGGTAATAGAGACAGTAGGAACACAGGTACAGACGGTGACCAACACTGGTACAGTGACTGCCACGGTTACCAATGGCAACGGGCGCGGACCAAGACCACCTCTTTCAGGCTCAGGCTCAGGGGCAAGCAATGGTATCTCCCCGCCCTCTCCAACCCTACCGGTGGCCATCCCCGTCACAACAGTGACGTTTACACAGACTGCCTCAGGAAGTACGATTACAAGTGCGGTTACGGTACCGCAGGTTACCTTCGTCACTGTCCAACCTACCGGGTCTGATGGTGCCGCCAGTGGGAATAATGGAAATAATATTGGTGGAGGTCCAGGGGAAGTTGGGTTGGTTCCCATGCCCACTGCTTCTCCTACCGGCGGATCTGGGTCATCGGGCTCGGGCTTGGGAAGTGATTCCGGTTCTGGTCCCGCAGTCGGGGGAGGAGCGGGAGCGGACGCAGCAGCCACAAGTTTCGTTCCCGGGCCAACAAGCTCAAGCACTGGCGCAGGGGCGGCTTCGGTCACACCAGACATATTCACCGGCGCAGCAAACAGGCAGAGCATCGCATGGGGTATTCTTGCTGGTACATTTGGTGTCCTTGCGTTCTTGGTCTAATCGAGATGAAGCTAAGAAAGTCCTCAAAACTTGAATGCGGGAAGGATTGAAAAGAGCACATGTATATTTTTTCATGGGCGCCGGGATGGACTTGAGTAGGGGATTGGCAGGTACACATAACGGCATGTTTAGTGACTATCCACGGTATCATAGGAATAATTAGATCCATGGCAGGACGTGGTATTGTTGGTATGATCTAAAGGACCCCAGGGAAAGCAAAGAAAAACCATTTTACACATGTTGTCCGTACCTGTACATCCTAGCTTCTGAGAACGAGTTTGCTTATGTTGGATAGTCACTTTGTACTTCCAATAATGGGCAGTACGTACGTTCTCGCAGTATACTAGTTGATCATTATGACGACAGCTCCCTAGTAGAGTAAGTTCTTCTTCTTCTTCTTCTTCTCAATTCTGAAGTTGAAAGCGTTTCGATGCGCTGAGAGTCAAAAGGCAAAAGCTCGTTAGATAGTCACCACCTGGAGCCCCACAAGAATTCATCATTCTAAGATGATGGTGTCGTAGCGTCCGGCGAACCGATCATGGTCCAAGAATACGAGGCCGATCCTCCGAAAACTTCCTTCCTTGGATGATTTCTGCAGGAGGACGATGCCAATGTGATCTTTCCGACTTTGGAACATCTGCAATACGATCGCTTCCGTTCCGTCCACAGGAATGTCGTCGCGAGCGTCCAGCCAGAAACGGATCCCTTGCTCTGCAACTAGATCGAACCACTTCACGTTCCCATCGGCAATGGCGGTACAGACGTCGAAATGTAAGACCTCGTCACAGACATAAACAAATACCCGATTACAACCGTTGACGTACTGGCGGTCTTTCTCGACCGTGGAGTAAATGTAGAAGCGCTGGCAAAACCCATTTAGAACGAGGCTGCACTGCCGGAGCCGACCAAGGGGATTCCGTTGGTCCACCACGATGCTCGTATCGAGAACCGTAGCCATCTGTTGGTAGTCCATCCCCCATATACAATTGATGAACAGGCAAGGTCCGCTCCTAGCCGCCCACGAGAAGGAGGGAACGACAACGTGGTCTGAGAGCGCTTCCGGCTTGGCAGTTAACCGCCGGGGCCAGGGACGGCAGTCCTCGCAGTATCCCCTCATGTTCGAGAAGGTGTACTGGGCGACGCTCTTCCAGCAAAGCCAGTGGACCAACTGGTTGCGCCAGAGCCCTGCCACGTAATCTCCCGGGTTGTGCCTGAACTGAAATCTCTTCGCGATGCCGGCGAGGCCTGGGAGCAGATCCCACTGCTGAGTCAGGGCGTGCTGCGTGTACTCAGCCACGATGGTCTTCCAGCCGTGAATGGTGCTCTCCGGGTTTCCAAATTTGCCCTGGAGCGCGGTATAGTGGTTCCCACATTGGCATTGCACCACCTTCCCAGCCTCGTACATGACTTCGGTGCCGGTGAAGTGTAGGATCCTCCTTGACAGGAACCGCTCTTGGTAGCACCAGCCGCGGGCGTGGATGTAAGGTGGATTGTCACCTTCTCTTTCAAGGAAGACGCCAGTCTGGTTGAGAAATCCGGGGACCCTCAGTTCTCGCACGTAGATCGCCGCCTCGGTGGCCGTCCGCGGGCGAATCTCGTGGAGCTCTGGCCGCGGGATAAACCCCTGCCCGTCGTCCACCTGCACAGCGATGGTAAAGAACGAGTTCTCGTAGATGTCCGCCATCTTGGCAGCCTGGATTTCCCAATCGTCCTGATCCCCCTGGATGATGCACAAGCTGTCAATCCAGAGGTATCGGACACTCAAAAACCGACAAACCCGAACTGCGTCTTGAAAGATTGGAGAAAGCTCTTCATAGGAAATCCTGCTCAACCGCACAGGCAAGTTCTGTCTGGTAGTCGTGGGAACTTCACGCCCAACCCAGCAATGGCTGAGAGTGACGTACATGCCTTTTTGGTTTGGCCTAGTCTCGATCAATCTCACATCCTGCTGTGTAGATGAAGCGTTGCCGTGGTCCTTTGGTCGAGAAAAAGCCCATACATCCAATAGTCTTCGAGGTAAAACGGTCTCAATCCTCGCATCTCTCAGCCACACGTCAATCTGGCCCTTGGTTTCTTCAGTAAAGAAGCCAGGGACGACACGACCTCGCCCTATGGCCGTGGGAGTAACCTTCCCTTGAAGGTGACAGTCAGCATTAGTTCGGTATATATATGCAGAGCCGTGACCTCCGGCTCCTCACATCATACTTCTAACAGGACAGTTGAAATTGGCGAATTCAGACTCACCCTCCAACGTAAAGAACTCCAGGCGGGGGGACAACCCATAGTCGTTCTCATACAATTCGTTACCATTGACCAACACCAAGGTTTCGCCGAGTTCGTACTCCAATGTTTGCAATAAACCGCGTCTCCGGATCCAATCGACAGCGGTGACACCGTCATACAAGATGGCGCAGAACTCGCAGTTCCTGGCGTTATCTTGGAGATCTCTGAAGTATAGCTTTTGTTTTGCAGGCTTCTCCTTGTTATCAAACCACCCTCTCGTCCGAGGACGGTTCTGTAGCTCGTAGAACTCGAGGTTTCCACAATGCTTGCAAGCGTTCGTCGAATAGCAGTATCGACAGGTCACTGTGGGTGGCGCCATGTCCGTCACGATCAAGTGAGCGGAATTTGAGTGCGTTAGGCTTTTGTGGTGTATCGCCCATCAAAGAAACTTTATCAGCCGCTGATATTTGCATCCCACAGCCAGTACAATTCTTATGAGAGTGTTGCGACGAGTGGGAGAGCAGATGGCTGGACAAACCAAGACTCTAGACAGCCTTACTGGGCATGCGCGGGGCAGGCGGATACGAGTTTTTGCCTTTCTGCCTTTTGCCGTGACAGAGCCTGTAGCGTTGGCCCAATTGGATTTTCGAAAGCAGCCGTTGGTGGTCTCGACAAGGTCTAGGTCACATTACACGTCACAGTAGTGCTCAAGGGGTCCACGACGTTGAGAATGCTTGATTAGGCTCGTCTCTTACCTTGGCCAAAACCGGCTGGTAGAGCCTCCAGCTGCCTTAGCGCTGAGGTTTGTTGGGGTGGGAGAGAGGGTGGAAAGCCAGCGACCTAGCCCTGTCTGCATAGATCTTTTGCGAAGGGAAGATGAAAGGAGGGGTAAAAGAGGGTTACATAAAGCAACCCCTAGAGCTTTTTCAGCTGTCTACTGTTCGTATCGCCTCTGCATAAGGTTGGTCGAGGATCCTGCCCTTGAGTGAAGAAAGTAGGCGAATAAATATGGCCGGCCTGCCAGCCCCAGGCCAACTTTTGCTTTGCTTGCACGTTTTCTCCAAAACATGGCCTTCTCTGATAGCGTTCGTACCATTCTACGCGATGTTGTTAGCATCGGTGCCGTCCTCGGGTGGGGGGGGCAGCGTGGTTCGCGTTGCACAAGTTTCAGGCTTGACATGGCATCATGTCTGCCCTCGGCGCATGCCGGCCCCACAAGCCTTAAGGATGTACGGGCTGAAAGACTCTCAACAGAGAGAGGGATTGTGGTTGGAGTCTACTCTGGCAACCTTCGTCCAGAGCTAAATTTCTTCACTAATCCCGTGCACCCCCAAAAAGTTGAAAAGAAATCAAGTGGAGCTCGTAAGAGTCAGCAAGAAGGATCCAGGAAACTCGACCTCCGAGAAGAACGTCTATGGCGCAAAGGAATTCGGGCCTCTCTTCGCGCTATCCATGCTTGGGTTGATCTCGTCAGCTGTGATTTTGTGGCTGTCGCTTCGTTACGACGATAAGTTCGCCTTGGTCGCTATGATCTTGTTGTCTTTGAATTCGACCGTTGTCGGCCTCGCGTCGTGCTGGAAACTGGACTTAAAGGAACGGAGCCCCAGGAAAGACAGAGAAGACAAAAGTCCGGAGGGTGATGTTGTCATATACTATGCACATCTGGGAGCGTTCCGTGTTGTACGGTGCGAAGAAAGGATATTAGATATGTATTTCAGGATTGAATCATGCGACTACACCCTAGGAGAGACGGCATACCGTGCTGCTTGGTTGTGTGCTACGATACTTCTTATGTCTGGATTCATCTGTCTGGGAAAGTCGAAACCTGAACTTCAAATCGCCTTCGCCGCGTTGTACGTCTTTTTGAACGTACTGTACTGGTTTTGTTCAGCATTGGATCCAACAAAATGGCATTGGTGGCACGATTACCAAGTAGTCACTTTGGAATGGAAGCACAGCGACTCTCAGGACCCCTCTTTCGACGTTGTTCTGGAGGCAACTATGTTCGCAGCGACCCTTCCGAACGACGATGGCAATCAAGCTGAGGCCCAAAGGCCCCTCACAAGGTGGCATTCGTCTTTTGCTGCTTTTCTCACCAGGCGCGTTACGGCGGAACGTGGCCTGTCACCGCCAGAAGTCGAACCAAATATACAGACGCACTGTGGACCGCAATTGCACTCGTCTGTCACTCTAGATGGGTGCAACACGCCCGTGTGGCGCCGGATAGCGGACCTTGGAAGCAATGGATCGAAGAAGCTGGCAACATCGCCGCAGCTTGGCAAGTGTATGACAAGCTGTTACAGGATCAAGTCACCGAAGCAAGGCATGAATCCCAAGATGCGCTCACTACAATGATTGACACAACCAAGGCCGTCAAGCTCCCGGCTTAGGACTACCAAAAACGTCTCACTGACCTGTTGGATGCTCAACCGCTTTACGAGAAACGCGCACCTAAGTGACTGCATCTTGTGAAGCTGAAAAATGCTGGGTATTTCACCGTAACAAAAGCATAGGCTCAGCCATTGAGAATGCAAATAGTTCCTGAGTTGGGCCATCCGCCACAAAACGCAGGTGAAGCTGAGGAATCCCAAGGGGTCTCAACTGGTGTGTTTTCGACTCGAGCGTTTGAGACTCATGCTGAGCCAATGGAACGTTCGGGTAGTAGCACTCAGTTGGGCGTTGAAGGAACACGGCTCCGCCAAAGTACTTCCAGAGATCAATCACAGGAGCGTCGTTAACGGGTATCGGTCCCAGAAGGCCTGCAGCTGGAGGCAAGAGCAATGAGGAACGAGGACGTGGTGTCATTAGGGCCGGGCTGGGAGCTGCGACAGACTGAGTCACAGATCGGCAGGAAAGAGAAGGCTAGAGTCTAGGTAGCCTATCTCTGGTGACTTCCCAGCGCTTAGGAGCCAGATATGCAGCCTCACGCATCATTACAAAACTCAGGCTTGGTGTTTTCAGGACAGGATTGCCTCGGGTATGGTGACAGACCCAGACAGCAACCTAGTCCCAAAAGCTAATAGAAGGATCGTGCTTACCACTAAAGACGCGCTGTTGTTTCGGCGCTGAATTCCTACTTGTAGGTACCCACCGGAATACTTGGTTCTATACTGTAAGCCTTGCCCGTCCCCCCACCACAGAATGGGCAGCAAAAGGACCGACAGCCTCATGAGCCTCGCAGCCCCACCCACCCGCTAACCCTCTTTCAACCACGCACGGCGGCTGTACACGGAACAGCTGGTAGAGCTGGTCGTTTCGGAACCCAAAGATTACACTCGGTCAATGTTTTTGATTGCCATCAGAATACCCGGTACCTTGTACTAAGCTTGTGTATGCGAAATATGACCCATCCTGGGTGTTTCAGCAAGACCATCATCGTCACCGTCATCATCATCACCACTGTTCACCGCCGCAACAGACATTCAGATGGTCCAAGGGGGTAGCGACCGTTGGCGACCTTGACCTACCTGGCCTAGGCCTGACGCCCTTTCGACCGTCAAGTCGAGAAAACAGGCAAAGAGATATATTGGTTACAAGTGCGTGTGTGTTCATCCGTAGGTAGTTTCTGTTGTACACAGAGTGAGAGTGGATCTGTCTGCTTGATTGTCTCCTCCTTCTGAGGGACTCTGCCTATCTATATACTATTTGCACTGTGGCAACAACGGGTCCGCTGAACAGATCTGTCCAGGCCTCGTTATCGACCAACGGTGGCACCCAGGCTGCTATAGAGAGGCCTCGGTTGAAGCATTGGTGGATTGGTTGGTTTGCCACAGTGGCGTTCTGCTGTCAACAGTTTCACTCCCAGCCGCCATTAGTTATCACCGCGAACGCCGCCCATTGCCTGGGCTTCAACCGTGCATGTGAACTTCCACCACTCCACTCTTGTGCCAGGTCGCCAGCAGCACTCCGCAGCTTCCACACCGATGCTGCACGTCCTTCAACGAGTTCATGAGGTACGGAACGAAGCAGAGAAGACCGGTCAAACAGCAAGCAACTCCAGCCCAGACGCTGTACAGGATACTCACGTCAGCTTTCGACGTGAGATGCTCCACGCCGTGCAGGTGAAGCACTGGCCAGTCCTACCGGAACGGGAAGATGGAACTTACTGTGTGGTGTTCCCCGTGTGGTAGCTGACATTGGTCATGCTCCGCTGACCGCAGGCCGGACAGTCCACTGGGGCAGGCGACATGCCAAGATTGGGGATCGCCACGGCCTGGCGAAACTGAGACGACGCCGAGCGTTGTTGAGGAGGAGGCATCTGGGGATGACCATAGACCTTCTCGGGGTACTCCTGGTGCGGCTGTTGCATGGGGCTGGGGGCGATGTGTGCGTTGGCCATGGGGTTCGGCGACTGTTGGAAACGGAGATCCCTAACTCCACGTCAGCACAGAACATCCATGCAAGTGATGCAGGAGTGGTTATTACTTACCCGGGCATCAGTACTTCGGTGGCTTGGTTCTCCGCTATAGAGAGGGTTCCGGTTAGACGGTGTCCTGTATACTGACTACAAGAGGTGACGCCGAGTACTTACCACCGTGTGAGTTTTTCTCGAAGCTGGGATTCATGGTTGTCGATTGAGCAAAGGATTGAAGGTGCAGTTGTGCAGTTGCGGTTGCCGACGTTTGGTTGGAGGGGAGCTGTGGAAGGAGGAGGGGAATAACGAGAGCCTGAGGAATCGCTTCGAGAGGGACGAGCAGGGAGGTGGCCCGCGGGATATAGACCAGTTTTTGAATGAAAACGATGAACTGTTGCAAGCGATTAGGCTGAGAGCCGTCGAGGAAGGGGATTGGAGGGGAAGGGACGAAGGCGTTTCCTCGAGGAAAATGGCTGTGCTAGCTAGCTACCTGGTCAGTCAGTCAGGTGTGTGGATTGGTTGGTCGTTTAGTGAAGTTAATAGTCAAAGCCCTACCGTTTCTCCTCTCGAGAGGCTACAGAGATTCGAGACCATATTTAGCCTCGCGCAAAATCCCTGTTGGACCGAAATTTGAAAAGGGGGCAAAGAGACACAGAGACACCGCATGCGTACAGAGACAGAGCGAGAGCTAAGATCTATGTGCGACCCTAGCTTTTCGCATCCTCAGGCATTTCCGTGTCTTGCAGCCTGCTGCACTTGACAGGGGCTGAAACCTTACCTCTTGGAAACCCGTAGACACTGTCAAAGCGGGTCCGCATAGACGGACCTAGCCCAGCCTTACAACGAGTTTGAGGACGCAGAACAGATACAGAGTAAAGAGGTATGTCTGGAATATTGCCTTTCTTTCCTGTGCCCTTTTTCGCCTCTCTAATATTGAATGTGCGGCTCTGGCCATCCCTTCCCGCCCCTTCTATTTTTCCCTGTTGTGTTTGATGTGACACAATTCCCAGCTTCCAAGAGAGAAGAAAAGACAGCTAGAGAGAAATTGGGAGATTGTACGAGGTGGCATGGGTTCGGATTGACACCACCACCACCACAGCCGACTCGTTGCCCGCGAGGCTGGAGAAGACGAGGAGGGGAAGTCGAAAAGATGGGAGAAGGGCGGCCATTTCTCAAGTTTGGGGGGGCCTTTCTTTGCCTTGTCTGGAACACAAGCACCTCATGATACGATACGCAAGGGAGCCGCAGCGGCCACATGCAATCGGGCTGGAGCCCCGCGCATTTTGCCCATGTCCAGGCCCATGGACTAATTTGGACTAGGACTAGTACTCCATACCTAGACGAGACGTGACAATTTATAGATAGCCAGCCCAGGTTCTCGGGAGTGGCTTGTTGCAGACGGAGGCTTGCGTGTTCTTTTTCTCCTTTAGGGGCGAGGCGCGGCGAGGGGGGTGGCGAATTACTGCTCCCTACTCCCTACCGACTCTAAGTGCGCGCGAGGCGCTGGCGGCAACAAAACATATATACATCCAGTGCCGCAACGTTAATTTCTCGTGATGAATAAAAAAAAAAGGACTGATTATTGATTGTAAGGCTGAAGAAGGGGGCCCTTTTACTTCCTGTCACCCAACCAATACTAACTCCTTGTAGCTAGGCCTAGTGACAAACCTAGCCACCCCTTTTTGTCCCAATGCAGAGAGTGACACGGTCCCCGTGTTGGGAGAGGCTCAGTCACCCTTCGCGCGTCCAATACGGACGCAAAAGTGGTCTGCCAGGCTGCAGGTGCACTCTCATAGGTCCCCGGATCTCAATTTGGGCCAGAGCCACGGAAGTGTCAAGGCCGCATACGGTCTTATAGGTTGGTTGGACGCTGGGCTGCATAAGGCTTTGAGACACGAAAGTCTAAAGGTCAGCTGAGAAACAGAGTCTGAATTTTTGTTTCTTTGTTGCCACTCAGCCTGATTCTGCTCTCCTTTCCTTTTTGCTAACCTCTTCCGGGAGATCTGGGCGCCTGCAACGAATTGTTGAAGGTTGTCTCATCTGCAGCCATGGTAATCATGCATATGCGGCCGGAAATAGAAGCCTTGGGATAGAAACGCCTCGCCTTGGGAAGGGGTTCTCTTCGCGCGAACTGTGGAACGGTGGCATTCCAACCTCAGTAGATGCTCCTGTATATCCTGAGGTGTTATAAGTAGCGGTAGTCCCTGCGTCAAGAGACGCAACCCGTCGCGAGACAAATTTACGATTTAGGCATCTCGAGTCTCTTCCTCCCAAGCCCACGAATTTATTACTAATATGTCGTTGTTCTTCAGCTATTTCTCCCCCAGGGAACCAGTCTGCAACGGGAAATTTACTGGGAATGATCATGCTGTCGATCGTTTTGTTGACGCCATCAAACGCCGCTTCGGCTGTTCCCCCCTGTTTAATCCTAGCTATGAGAGTTTCTTCGAAATTCGGAGGGCTTAAGGAAAGGTCCTATAAGAAAAGAATATATCTCCCAGTTTTGAAGACACCTAAACAGAAAAAGGTGACTGTGTAACAAGTATACGGCATCAAAGCCCAAACTCGCTATATTTTACTCGGCCACGACCGTAAACGTGGTCACGAGTGTGGAGTATCACGTGCGTGGTGAACTACTGCTTCTCGAAACCTTTGGCAGCCTGCTGCCTCACAGTATGCTCGCTGTTGCCTAACCGCTGTTGTCGTGTCTGCTCCTCCATCATCGCGACAGGTAGGCCAGAGCCAGTCAAGTACTGGCGTAAGGCGTTCCTCCCGGCGTGCCTAAATCATATCGTGCCCTTGCAGACCATGGCAATGTCCCTCACTCTACCCTCCATCATCGTGATCGCGGGCGACGCTCGATGGAGGAGAAGGCTCAGAGCCAACAGTACCTCACCCCATGGGAAGAGGATGTCGTCGTTAAGTTCTTACTACAGATGTCCGAGCTTGGACAACCAGTACGAATGAAGTTTGTCCCTTCAATCGCCTTTAGTGTCATCCGCCAGCGACCCGCGGCGGACAGACCGCCCAAGCCGCCCGGCAGGAACTGGGCGAAGGCTCTGGAAAACCGCCACAAAGAACTCAAACGCGAGAAGAGTCAGGGCCTTGGACAGGAACCGTCACGAGAAAACCATCTATAGGAAGATCACACGCTGGTTTGAGGTAATAGGACGGATATTACAAGATCCAGCTATCCTGGCCGAGAATGTCTATAACATGGACGAGACAGGAGTGATGTTGTCCATGCTAGGCTCCGTCAAAGTCCTTGTAGGTAAGGATGACCGGCGAAAGTATCGAGGCGCGCGAGTCAAGCGAACAATGGTGACTGCGATCGAATGTATCAGTGCTGACGGCAGGTATTTAAACCTGATGGTTATTTGGTCAGCCACTGCATATCGAAGCAACTGGACCACATTCTCCACGCCGGGTTGGCAGTACGCCATTTCCGAATCTGGATATACCGATCAGCTTAGAGTGGCTGAAGCGTATATTCCATCCTGAAACTAAGGAGCAGGCTAACAAGAAACCACGGGTGCTCATTTGCGACGGCTTCGGCACCCACGAGACCCTCGAAATCTCAGAGTTTTGTTTCGAGAACCAGATTATTCTGGGCCGTCTGCCTTCTCACACTTCTCATAAACTCCAGCTCTGTGATGTCACTGCGTTTGCTCCACTGAAGACAGCTTACCGCGAATAGGTTGAACGACTAGAGAGGGGAGGTGTAAATACAATCGGCAAGGAGCATTTCACCTGTCTGTATAGCCCTGCGAGAGAAAAGGCCTTCACGCCGAAGAATATCAAGGCCGACTTTGCTGCAACCGGTTTGTACCCGTTAAACCCAGATCGAGTGCTCAGAGATATGCCGAAGCCCCCAGCGGAAGCTGAGATTGTGCCAAAACCATGGAGAGCTCCAGTAGCGCGGATGTATTAGCGGAGGATACCACAGATGAGATCGCCGTACGAGAACAAAGAGTCAATGCACTGATTCTCTAGCTCGGATCGGGTTTGGAGGCAGGCTCGTACTGGGTTCCCTCTGCCATAGAGTTAGTCTTTGCTGTCCTCTTGGCGCAAGAGGAGTACAGGCAGGCAAATGGGACAGAGGTTATCCTTTGGGGTTTGGGGTCGCTCTGCGGTGCTTTTCATACCGTGTTTGTTATAACTTGAGCCTCCCGTTGCTGCGGTCGCCTGCCCCCTTTATTTCACGCTCGTCATTATGGCTCTTCAAGTGTGGTGGTGCTGTTCCCTCTGTCGTCGTGCATGCCGCTCCCCTTTCCGCTTCTCTGTTGTCACTGAGCTGTTGTTAAAGTCCTCGCCAGGTCATCGCCAGAAGGAGGCCCTTGTCATCACCGTTACGACGCCCTCTAGTATTGCGAAAATTGAAGAGGTTCATTTGTTGTACAATAGAAGGCGAATTAGGTGTCGCTAGTTTTTTTATTTAGCGGAGCCCATTTCCAGACGTTTGTGGCTGTGCACCTTTGCCGTGTTGTACGCTAAAGGAACCTCTGCTGTTCGCAGAGCGGGCCAATTCTCGCCCATTCTACGCTTCACAGTCGCACCCTTCTTGGTGAACACTCTCTCGTTACAGTCAATAGCGAAATCAGCTTCCTCCTAAGCATAGATCCGCATTTCGTGGCGCCACGCTCGCGCCTTTGACTACGTGTGACTCTCGTCAAAATTCCGGCTCTGTCAGTCTGTAAACCACTCTTGAAGGAATGCCCTAAATGGGATGATAAAACCTCTTTCTTTTCTATGAAATAGAGCGAGCCAGTCGCTTGTTTATATAGATGTTGATTCCTCTTTTTTTTATGCCTCCTCACCCGAATCTGGCCGGTCGGTGCATCCAAACTGGTGCCTAGCCATTCAGCTGAACAAGGATCGTGAGTCGCACTGGTGCGGCGCGGGAGTGAATCAGGAGGTTGCAAACGACGTCCTAGTCGAAGGAGTGAATCTCTAGAATAGGTGAATGAAAGACTATGATTGGTTAAAGAATGAATGACCAAGGATGAGGAATTTGACTCTATAGAAGAGTCGATTTGTGGCTCGTCAGAGGCACTTGAGGCACGTCGGCGCGCCGGCGTCGCGAGTGCGCACTTGGCGACTTGGCGCCGACCAACAGGCTCCTACCCTAGCAATAATTTAGAAGTCGACAAATAGTACTTCACCACGTCACCCTCACATTACACCTCCTAAGATGACGGATATTCGCAAGAGCCTTATGCTGTAACCAAAACGCGTGGCTCTTGCCGCTGGCCGACGTGAGGGATTAAAGTCCACTCAATTCCTCGAATCTAAAAAGCACAATCACTACTTAGTAATAAACAAAGCTGACATTATGGTTGAGCTATCTCCTTCAGAACTATGCGACGAATGCAAAGGCATCAACATCAAGTCAATTACGAGTGATGGCGGATATTTACTCGCACAGAGTCCGAAAGATCTTCAAAGGAAAGCAGACACGTGTTCTCTGTGTCGGTTCATAGTCCAGCACTTCCGTGAGCAAATGCCGTTGAGAATTCTTTCAGAATCGCCCAAGAGTTATCCTCCCGAGGCCGAAAGAATATTTGTGTCCATTGTTCAAAACACGGATACCTACCGGGAGAAAGAACCGCGCCTCGTGACCTGGCAAGGGCGAGTTGTGACCAGGCCAGGGCGCCTCGTAATCCGGGACAGAGGGCGGCGCCTCTTGATTGAGAATGAAATCGGGGTTTGTTCCAGAAGGATCGCGTTGGCTACAATTGAAGGTTTTAACCCTTTTTCTGTCATCTTGCTACCCGCGGGGAGAGGCTTACAGTGCTGTAGGAGACCCTGCTGCCGATTATGGCGTCGAGACATTGCGAACACTTTCGAATACGTCTTCACCGGAAACATTCGAAACAGCGAGCCGTTGGCTAGCTGCATGTAAAGACCGTCATAACTGCTCCGACATGCCAATTAGCATTGCAAGTGCCGCTGCCCTGTTTTGGAATTCGATTGATCCTGTACTTACTGGATTTTTCTTAGCGCAGGTCCGTAGTGTCAGCCCCAAAAGACTGATCGATCTGAAGCCGTCCTTGGACGATTCACTCGATGTGCGACTTGTCGAAGTCAAAAGCGAAATACCCGAGTATGTTGCGCTGAGCTACTGCTGGGGCAATTCCACAGGCAACGAATACAAACTGACCTCAGAGAATCTCGAGAGCAAAATGAAAAGAATAGCCCATGGAGAGCTGCCGAAGACTTTCCAACACGTCTTCTCCATCGTGCGGTCGCTTGGATACAGATTTATTTGGATCGATGCGTTGTGCATCTTACAGGACAAGGACTCGGAAAAAGACTGGATAGATGAATCAGAGAAGATGGGGTCGATTTTTGGCAACGCAGTTTTTACCATTGCATCGAATGCTACCGATGATCCGTACAAAGGCCTTTACAATGACCGAAGCTCCAACCTTCCCATACCTGACAAGGTCACTGTCCGAACGACCTTGCCAGACGGCACCGCCAGCAGCCTGATGTTTTTCGACAGTCCTTCTGGATACGAAGCAGAGAACACTTTCGGAATGATGTCTGGTCCGGTATCACAACGAGGATGGACACTACAAGAACGCATGCTTTCCCCCCGCACCCTTCACTATACAAGCAAGCAGCTTGTGTGGGAGTGTCGTGAGACATACGAGACGGAGGACGGCAGCGGATCGTGGGATCGTTGGGTCCCCGATACCACAATGGCTAGGATGGTAAAGGATATCTCAGCAGGATCTCTCGACCAGAAAGGCACTCGCAAGCGGCTAACGTTGTGGTACCGTGATATTGTTCCAAACTATACAGAGAGGAAGGTCACGGTGCCTTCCGACAAATTTCCAGCTCTCTCTGGACTTTCGCGCCTCTTGTCTTCTTACCTCCCTGGCTGGACGTTTTTAGCAGGGATTTGGGTGCCAAAGCTCCCGTGTCATGATGCCTTCGACTTGGAAAGTCTCGCTTGTGGGTTACTCTGGTACCACGATCACAGCACTACTTTGACAGCTCTGAACGAACTTAGAGCACCATCGTTTTCATGGGCAGCTCTAGAAGGAAAAGTCTCATACAGCACTCGGCTGCTGTTACCCCCGGGATATGTAGATCGATTATATTGTGAGATAGCGAAAGAAACTAACTCTATGAAGGCAGATGAATGTGACTTTCCTGAGGGTTGTTGCGGATCTTTCATCATCTCCTACAGATTTCAGGGAGGGGCTTGGGGCAGTTGCGGTGGAGGCGACTGGAATGGGCTCAGGGAGGAATACGGTGAGATGGCATTCGAGATAATAAGCTTCACAAATGATCTGGAGACCAAAGACACCTTCGGCCGCGTGCGATCAGGGACATTGACTCTACGAGGATACCCTCAGCGAGGTTTCGCTTACGACAAGTCGTACATTCTTCGGAACAAGCAGAACGAACCCGTGGGCCACGTATTTCCGGACTTTGACGACATTGATTCCACTCAGACTCTCTACTTCCCTTTGGGCTCCCACGGACATGTTGCATACTGTCTGATGCTGCGACTGTCGGGCCCTGAGTCGACGAATACTTACGTACGAGTGGGTGTTGGTGGACTGGAGATAGAAGAATTGACCTGGGTCTCGGAGAAAATTGTGCTAATATAAAGGTCAGGACTAAGGACCAGCGATTGCAGGTCCAATTTGCCTACGACATGGCGCCAAACCTTGCAGCATTGCAATGTGCCCTGGTCCGCGATATGATAGTCTCAGGAACTCTCTCTGCCGCGCAATTGGTTGGCGTCGCTGGCTGCGGCAAATGCTCGATCAAAAATATTCCAATCGGCGCTAAACGACGTCGACCGTGTCGTGCCTCTAATGTTGAAAGCCTTGCAACAACTCTTACGCGAGTCCCCAGACTATCCTTAAATAAGATGGTAGTCTTCCTCTGGGAAGCCTCGGCATCACTACTACGGTTTAAGCGCTGAATTAGGCGTGGATCACGTAGATATAGCTAGAATGTACTTCAGCATAACCAACGCAAGTTACGCAACGCCAATTCGCCGCTACCATATGCGCCCCTATATGCATGACTCGGTTACCATTGGCCCCCAACTATAGTAGTACTGTAACAAGGCAAAGTGGCTGTGCTGTGCTGTGCTATGCAGGGCTGGTAGAGTGGTAGCAAAAGGGGGAGGGAAGTTGTCTAGTCATATGTCAAACCAAAATGTGCTGGCAGAAGGGAGTGTGGAACAGTTTACAGTGCTGGCAGAGTGCCATTCTTTACAGTTTGAAGAGATCATCATGAATTCCATGGCCTTTTGGTGCCGTCTACCTGATTCCTGAGTGTTTTATCAATCCTGTCCTGTTTCTCGATACCGCCGCTGTGCTAGGTGTTTGTAGCCCTAGCCGCTGCCCCTCTGGGTGGTGTTAGTGGTGTTGTCTTGTCAGTGCCAACCAGAAACGCGTTCTCGATTCCCGACCTGCTAGAAAGGCCTCTGTGCTTTGTTGCACGTGCACGCCGAGCCCTAAAGTGCTCTGTTATAGCAGGTCTTGATGCACTTATGGAGTCAGGGCTGCTTGAATTCAAAGTACCTATAGTTTGTCTCGCGACGGGGTGCGTCTCTCGACGTAGGGACTCACGTTACGACTGTCTTCGCCCAACAGGGGTGCTTTGTTGGGGCTAGTGCTTAGCGCCAAAATATTTGGCCGTTTATTTCCGAGGCCCGAGACGCGTGCAAACGCGTCTTGTTTACGTTCACTTACCATCCAAACCTTCCGCTTTTTCCTAGTAAATTACTAGCAGACAATGGGTTATCGAAATAAAGGTCGAAAGCGCTGTCGACAGGAAGACACTTCTATTGATTTAATCGAATCAAGTCCACGAAAAAAGAACACTCTAGTCGACACTCCACGACGACAGCGAATCATCTCAGATTGCAACAACTTACAGAGCAAAAAGACTCAACGCCAAATATTTCAAGCCTATGGAGTCTCAGAGAGAACAGACAGACGAATTCTTAGTAGTCAGACTGCTAGGAGCGCTGGCAACAACGCCAATCGAGGTAGGAAACGTAAACTAAGCGAAGCAGATCTCGATATCATTGAGACCTTTGAGAACGCCAGTTTTGATCTCTCTACTATTACCCATGGTCGAGTCGTAAGATCTCTCGGTTATGACGTCTCAGATCGTACAGCTCAACGACGAATGGCTGAACACGGTGTTGAATATTACGTGGCAGCACAAACTTCGCGAATCAAACATTCAACGATTCTTAAACGACTGAATCGCGTCTCTAAATGGCAGCAAACAGAGCATTGGTTTTAGCATCAATTCGGCTTTTGCGACGAAGTAGGATTTGGCCGAGGACCACAGAAACGCAAGAGAATTCATCGTCGTCGTGGTGTTCAGTAAAGAAACTCACTCAAGAAGAGTCAGTTCCGTGATAAAAGAGACGTTCAAGCTCTTCACGCTTTCGCTGTTATTTGGAAAGACGGTAGATCACGATTACTCTTTTACAACGGCTCAGGGTTAAAAGGCAGACTTACTCAGTCTAATTATCGTCAAATACTTCGCGATTTCGTTCTTACAGAACTTCCTCCAGATAAAATTCTATTCGAAGACAACGATTCATCTCACGGTACAAAATCATCAGCTTCGCCAATGATTCTTTATAAAGCAGAGCTCGGAATACCTTGGTACGCTAATATTGCTAGCTCTCCTAATATGAATCCTATTGAGAAGGTGTGGAGAGTTGTTAAACAAAGGCTGAAGGCGAGAGGAATAGCGAAAAACGTTGCTCAAATGAAGCGATGGATTCAAGAGATCTGGGATAACCTAGATTAAGAGAAAGATATCGATGTGTATATCGATGCTATGCTAGATAGGATTCGTGATATTCGCGCACGAGGAGGGGCTGTTCTGCCATATTAATTACTAGGAAGACTGGCTAGATTTGATACAGTTGTATTGTTGAGAGTACACGGTGTGGTGGTGTCTCGGAAATAAACGGCCAAATATTTTGGCGCTAAGCACCAGGCCCATAAATAGTCCACTAATCTGGGAAAGCTAAGGTACCAACCCTGCACCCCAGGGGAGCCAAACTAGCATGACACTGCGCTGCTGCCAGACGATAGAAGGTAGCAGCCATGATGACTGGGGGTTTTCGGATAGGCCATACCCCTCCCTCTGCAATCTCCCCCGACCTGCTACCGTTATACTAGACACCTTTAGGCCTTGAAGCTGGCCGACGGTGCAGTACAGTTACTAGATCAACAGTTATCTTCCGCGTGAAGTCGAGGAATCGTCCACAGTCCAGCCCACATCCATTGGTTTCCACAATGGCACTCCAGCCGACCGACACGAATGCCCCCGGACGAGCATGTGCCCTCTGCAAAACAGGTACGTGTGCACAGCCTGAAGGGAACCGCGACGTGGACTTCTGCTGATTCACTCGTAGGTATTTCCTGGGACGTCACCTTCGCAGAGTGTACCTACTGTCGGTTGCCCTTCTGCAAGTATTGCTGGCTTCAACACCAGCCGAGCCACGCCCTGGCCTCGGTCTCAATGTTGCATGGAGACATTCACGATCTCAACAACAGAAATGCTTCCGCGCCGTGCTCTGCCTGCCGCAAGCGGGCTCCTGGTCGATACGTCTGTCTCGATTGCCACTACACAGTGTGTCGGGGGTGCTGGTTCTCCAGAGGCGTGAACCTGCACCCACATAGATCATTCAAGGTGATAGAAACCAAGTGCACTGTTAGGAGCGACGGCGCCTCTGCCGACCCATGTTGTTGTGATGCTGCCGCTGTCAATCACTGCACCTCTTGCTCAATAGGTAGGAGAGCCGTGGTACTGCTTGACCGAACCCGTAGAGCGCTGATGTCAAGCACGATAGGATTCTCGATCGGACAGACAGTCATCTTTTGCAAGACCTGCTATGATCAGACCAATGAGCCGATGTACCGATGCTTGAGCTGCTATTCACTTGGCCGCGACCACCCGAGCAACCACGAGTCATGGCAATGGACCTTCCAGGTCGAGAAGCCCGGATGGTTATCCAGCGGGATATACTGCCATACGTGTGCTCAACGTAAGTCCAACGGAGAAACGCCAGCGAGCGTGCCACTGATGAGGTTTTGGGTCAGCGATGCGTAACTCTGAGGCTCTCAAAGGCCACGCCCACAGACACTTTATCGATATCTATACCGAGGAGAACCTGAACCAAGTGATAGCGAGGTCGTACCGGGAATGCCAGAGAAAAGTCATGCGTGTTGACGGTATAGTGGTCGCCGGAAGCGAGCAGTGCAGCCTCTGCTTGCATAGTGAGTTTCCTCTTCCTCCTCATGCTGGACCAAATCAACCCTGACATGCTCTGCAGAGACTTCACCGATCTCGCCCTTACACTGTCAGCAGTGTGACCAGGTTCTCAAGCTGTGCACTCACTGTATTCAATATGCCAGCAAGTTGCATGTTCACCCCATCCCAAGATTCAACGACAACTCTAGCCAAGGAAATCCTGTGCAGGTACAGCGTTCGACCTCGAAACCCTCGCCTTCGGGACCGCAATACTCACCTGCCACGCCGTCAACGCAATCGCCGCAACCAAGTCAAGGTCCGTTCGGCAGTGCTGCTCCTCAGCCTCAACGACTTGCGCCCGGGCGTCCTCCAACGACGGGACAAACCATCCCTCCCCGAAGACAAAGGATCAGCAGCGCTCCGCCTCAAGGCCTATGGTCCAGACCTCAAAGCTATGGCCCGGCGCCGGCGGGACCGTACGGCGCAACGCAGCAGGGAGCCTTCCTCAACGACCTCACCACGAGCATCGCTATTGCTTCCATCACGCAGGCAGTCGCAGGCGCAGAATCGAACGCAATATACGACGGGTCGGGCGCCACTGGCCCCACAGACGCCGGGAACCTCGACACAGGCACAGCAGCTGCAGACACAACTGGCGCTGGCGCAACCCAGGACGTCAGCGGTGTGCAGGGAACGGACTGGACCGGACAGGAGACGTGGCAGGATACGACCGCAGTGTACGACTCAGGATGGGCCACCGATGACCAGGCTCTATTTTAGCCGCAGTCATATTGAACAGTCCACTCACTGGCATTTTAGCGACAGCCTTTGTAGGAACACAATTTGCAAGGCTAGAGGTACTGGTGGTGCAAAGAACAGCATCATCAAATCGTGAGCAGCTACCTGCTCGCTTTATTCCAGAAACAGTCTGACTGTATCCGACAAGAGGCTGATTCCGCTCAATCATCATCCTGAATGCCTATCATCGTACGTTCAACTCGTTCTCTATTGATATTTCTCGTCATCACAGGCTTCATCACCCCTACCGCTATCGACGTCGACAAACTCGTTGTTCTCCTTTCTTTTGGGAGCGAGTATTCCCCGAATCCAGTCATCGACTTCGTTGACTGCCTTCTCAGGGTCGTCACGGCACTGCAGGAGGAAGTCCAATATTTCTGCATGTGACAGGAATTTTGGGGGAGTTCCCGTTGGCAAAAGTCTGAGCTAGTTCTTCCAGCTCAACCCGTGTCTCAACGCGGTCGCCGCTTGCCTGGAGCCGGAGGAAGATCTTTTGAGCTTGGTTCTTTGTCGCGACGTCGAACTTTAAGCGATAATCGACCCGGCCAGGGCGAGTCGGTGCGGCATCGAGGCGTTCTGCGTAGTTGCTTGTCAGTATCTCTAACATCCTTAGCCTCTTCGATATCGTCGGAGGAATGACCATTGACCGCTCCGAACTTGAAACGGATCTCTCAAAAGAGGGATAACATACGAAAATATGACCTTCTGGGACTCATATGCCGTCGATCGCGTTCAAGATGCCGGACAGAGTGACAACGCTCTTCTTACGACCCTTCAATCCCTTCGAAGGGCTGGATAATGCATCGATATCGTCGTTTGCTCTATCATCAAGATCTTGCCCTCCCCTGGTTCATCCAGCCCTATCGAACTATCTTCGAGAAACATAATACAATTGATGTCATCGATTCGACGCAGTAATTGCTGAAGCACACTGTCACCGAGCCATTCCGAGAAAGCAATTGCATTCATAGACATCCAAAATGCGCTGCAAGCGCTGTGATCAACGAGATCTTGCCCGCGCCCGGTGGCCGGTGGAACGAATAGCCTCTTTATGCCGCGTTTTCTGTACCAGTCTTTCCCGGTGAGATACGTGTCAATGTCGGTAACGAGAGCCGCCTTCTCTTGAGAATCCATCTCAACTGAGTCGAGGCTCTGGAAAGAGACCGTTAAGGGAGCATTCCACCGCTCTGTCCTCTACTAGATGTGTAAAGTGCAATTGAGTGCCTAACGAGATCGGCCCCGTACCCCTCGTATGCATCGTCAAGCACGTCCTCGATGGGTTTGATAGACCATCCTAGGCAACAAGTCGAGCATACGTCTACTCGCGGGTCATAGGTGAGGGAGAAGTTGCGGCCCTTGTGGCGGACTGACTGGAGAGCAGTAAAAGTATGAGACCGGCGTTTCTGCCACGACTGGCCATTTCAATCCAGAGTCGGACCTCAGGCGATCTATTCATCAAATTCGTGAGAGCCAAGGTGGCCTTCGTGGTTCTTAAGCAATTTCTTGTAGTGGTATAGCCACTGCAGCCCCGCGCACACATCACCATAATTGTCCAAATAAACCACCGTTGGTGTCCAATATGGGGAGATTATTCCGCAGGACCTGGCCCCAGAGCCGACAGAGCAATTTGACAATGAGCAAAGTACCAAATCCCCCAGCAAGCGCGATAGAACGGAGTCCCTTGGCCCGAGGGCGATCAAAAAATGCATATCGATACTGGAGAAGAAGGATCGTCACTAGATAGATGGGGACGCTGAAGATTGGGCCCATCGAGTTTGAGAATGGCGGCTGCGAAGTCTGGACGGCCATCAAGCACGACATTCCGCGTTGTCTTGTCGGCCATGGTGTAATGAGGCATGGAGAGATCCTAATGAGGATACAGACGGTGGATTTATATCCTCAGTTGTCGCAGGTATCTCTGATGCCAGAGTGACGCTTGTAAAAGCCATGACTAGCCAGTCGGTGACGTCGGACGGAGCTGCAGCTCAGCCTTCACCAAGTGCAAGTGCAGAGTTGCTCTTCACGGTTGTTTCAAGTACCTCCAATGTTAAGCTCATTAAGGAATTTGTCAGCTTGAGCTTTGGCCCTCTGTGCAGCAATCAACTTGCGGCGCTCCTCGATTTCTTTCTTCCGTTGCTCTTTCTTTTCGTCCCGTTCTTTGCGCACCCTCTCCGTCTCAAGCCTCTCCTTTTCAAGAGCATCCATTTCTCGCCTCCTCTCTTCTGCATCTTTACTGAAAGTGTAGAAGCCAGTTCCTTTGCTCCTAATTTCAGCAGTGGCGTCGTAGTGTGTCTCCGGAGGAGGAGTCGCAGATTTGTCTCGCTTCTTCGCAATTTCTTCCATGCGATCAGCAATGGCTTGGTCAGGATTGAAGGCCTGGTGTTGAATAGTGTCTCCATAGAGGATGTTACTCGGCATGGAAGGTCTTGCAGAAAGTCGCTCCTCTTCGGCAGCGGCGGCGGCCTGCATACGTTTCCTTCTCTCTTCACGCGCGGCCTGCGCTTTTGTTCCTTTGCGGAGCCGACCAAACTCATCCAGATATTCCACAATTTCCTCTTCATCCACGCCGTTATCTGAGTCGAAGCTATCGGAGTCACCTCCTTCGCCTTTTAACTGATCTTCCGCCCACTTGCGGTCGAAATCGATCAGGCCACGGTTGTCGTAATCCTCTCTACCGATGTATTCACCACGCCTCATGGCATTGTATAGGCGGACTTTGTCCTCCATCTTCCTCTTCGACCTGTGCAACTCTGCATCGTCGACTGAACCAATATCATCCTTCGTTTTGTGGCGTTGCTGGCCATCTTCGAGGTCAGCGGCGGACCGTTTCTTGACATTTTTGTTGTGAACAGTAAAGATATCCGATTTATCTTTAGACGGACGTGTTCGGCCGGCTGAAAGTTTCGATTTCGCAGAGGACGAGCTGGAGATCAGTGATGCCAAGTTCGTAGAGAAAGCGAGAGAAGTGGAGGACGAAATTTCCTTGGTCTTGGTCTTCGAGGCCTGCTTAATGCCATACAGACTGTCTGCCATGATACCTACCGTTTGGGAGGGAGAGTTCTTCTACAGTGGAAGAGGTACAAAGGCGTGATATCCGGGCAGCTTGTGCATGACGCCGCAGCCGGGAATGATAGAAGGTTGTGAGGGCGGGGAATTATTATGACAAGACTCCATCAGCAGAATTCAGGACAAGGCTGTACAAGGCTGCGATAATATGCACTTTTCCCTTTCCAGCTTGTGGGGTATTATCGGAAGGTCGGATGATCGGACTCGGATCAACTTGAACTCGAACCTGATGCATTGACGAGTATATTGTGCGTTGTGCGCCTCATCCCCTTAGTTCTATTAAACCTTCTGATCCAGAAGAGATTCCTTTTGGAGGAGCGTGCTTGCAATATACTACTTCAAATAAACAGAGGACCTGATACGTGTCGGCCAGGAAGATCAGATACCCACAAGATGACCCAGTCTCTGGAAGAGCTTGAGGCGAAGGCTGCTCGTCGACGGCGAGAGAAGCCTCAGTTGTCGTGCAATTTGTGTAGGAAAAGAAAGTGAACCCTCTCCCTTCCTCCTGAAGAGCCTCAAAAAACTCACGGGCGACGAGGTAGACTGAAATGTGATCGTTGCCATCCTTGCCACAACTGTTCCCGTCGGGGCCTCGCTGATTCTTGCACTTTTCCGGACGCTGGCCTTCCGAGGGCGACGACCGCAAACAGCATATACCAGCTACCTGTCCCTAATGTCAGAGACCGAGTGAAACAACTCGAGTCTCAGGTTGACTACCTGATGGGAACCTTGAAGCAGGCCAACCCGAGTCCGTTGACAATACAGAATATTGGGCTCTGGCCCCAAAACCAAGACCACCAGAAGGACGGCTCTCGCCAGGATCCACCACTCCTCGCGTATACAACCGGCTATTTCCAACAGCTTCAAGGAAGAACCAGCTATTTTGGCAGTTCGCATTGGATGGCGATCCTGCAAGGGGTAGGTTTGTCTCTCGGAAGCTCGCAGTCGTCGGTAGCTGACCCGTACTTACGATTCCCGAATTGAGAGACGTCTTTCAGACCAAACCTTCTCTCATTAGTGAGGAAGAAGAACCAACTAATGAAGCAGAAAATGACGAGCTTGATCTCCTCCTTGGATGCTCTGAGAAGACCAGTAGAGAAGATATTCTCAATGCCATCCCTTCGAAGAGTTTCGTCGATACTTTGATAACCGTGTGTTTTATCAACACTGATAATGAAGCAAGTCTGTCAATGAATATGTCTCTTCCCTCCCCCTTGTTGCTGACTCTGACAGTGATTGTACATCCTCAGACATTTCGAAATGAGGTTGGTAGCCCGTGAACAATCGTCAACACTTCAGTGCTGATATCAGATGCAGTATGACAGGTTCTGGGAGGATCCGACATCAGCGTCAACAATGTGGATTGGTTTATTGTTTGCTTTGATGTGTCTTGCAGTGCAGTACCAACAATTCTCTCCAGATGAGGAACGCCGTCTCCAGATAGCGGAGTCTGAACCGGGAGCTCTCGTCCGACTATATCGTCAGAAGACCATCCAGTGCCTGATTCTAGGGAAATACTTCCAAGGCCCGCGATACACAGTGGAAACGCTTTTGCTCTATCTATTCATCGAGACCTTGAGAGAAGAAGATACAAAAAATTTGTATGGCCCATGGGTAGTATGGGGAGTTCTTGTCCGGATTGCGTTCAGAGCCGGCTATCACCGTGATGGATCCCATTTTCCAGCAATGTCCTGCTTCGAAGCTGAGAGGCGCCGCAGAGTCTGGGCGATACTTGTTGGATGGGACATGTATCTCTCTATCCAGTCCGGATTGCCCCGCATGATCAATCATTCGCTATGCGATACTGCGGATCCGAGAAATCTCTTTGAGGAAGATCTTGACGAGAACCTTGTTGATTTGCCCCCTCCGAGGTCAGGATCTGCCAAAACAGTGTCTCAATTCCACGTCGCGAAGAATCAACTTCTCTCCATTTTCGGAGCGATTAACGATCTTACGATGTCCGTCAATCTCTCTCCATACGCTGAAGTCTTGAGACTAGACAATATACTTACAAGCGCTTACGAAATGATTCTCCCTGTTTGGCAGCCTCCTTCGCGACCACACGACCTCTCAGCGCCGTCACAGCTCCCTGCTACGACTAGTGTGCGTTACACTTTTCTCTCCTTCATCTATCACAGAGCACAAATTGTTTTGCATCGCAATTACATGTCCGTTGACAGAAATCACGGACAATATGCATACTCACGTAAAGTCTGCATTGAGGCTGCCCTTGTTATCTTGCGACATCAGTGGACTCTATATCTGGAGACTCGAGTCGGTGGTCGTCTGTGTCGCCATGGATGGAAATTCCTGTCTCTCCTCGTGCAGGATTTCCTTTTTGCAACTGCCATTCTCTGTGCCGGTCTTGGGGAAGAGATATCTCTGGCTAATACCGTATCTACCAATGGCGCACCGATCTCGATCACTGGTTGTGAGAGGAGCAACGACACAGGGATGCGCGATCGTATGTTTCACGCACTCAGCTCTTCTTACATTGTATGGCTACAATCGAACGACTCAGAGTCTTCACGAGAAGTAAAAATTGTGGTTTCTGCGCTCAGGCATCTGCTTGGAAGGGCGCAAGAAATTGGATTAGGTCTGGCAATTGCAAATGCCCCGGAACCATCAAATTTTCCATGGAATGCAGACACAAGGATGGACGGTTCAGGAAACAACCCCCTTGAGCAGCGACGGCCAGGCTACGGTCTTGAGGTTGACAAACCTAGGAGCGTGGATGTTTATTTTGGACTTGGGCACTTCCCTATCTGAATGCCACAGACGGACGGCTACCCGTTTTAAGGACCCGCCTTACGGATATGTAATAACTCGTCGGCAATGAGCGGCCTCACGAATACACTGTTCAGCACTTAATGACGAAAGGAAAATACCCAGAATCTTGGAAGCGCCAAATGAGGATATGGTTCAAGGCGCTGGGAGCGATACTGCCCTCATTAGAAGTAGCAGGGCTTAAATCCATGAGAAAGGAGATGTACGGGAGTTGGTGGCAAGAGTACCAAGTACTACTACCTATCGAGCTGGTACTGGGTATGCTTTCTGGCTTCAGCATAAACTGCGGTCCAGGGCCCTTTGCTCCAAGCTAGTGTCTACGGAGGATCATCACACCTTTTTATGTTCTTGACGGATCTGACGCGCCAAATTCCGTGAAAGCTTGATGCAGCAGCAACTATTAGTGGCATGAGCTTCCCTCAATGACGTCGATCAGGAACAAATCATTTCGAGCTCCGTTCCTGCCGCCGATAGCTATAAGAATCTCCATCCAAATGAAAAGACTAACATCTATTTAACAGCTGAACGCTGTGGTCCATAATTTCGGAATTGGTCTTCAGAGAGAGGAGCTCTGGTCGACCAGAAGAAAGACGACTGAAGGAGAACAGTACAAATGTCTATCGATTCATTTGCGGCTCTTCGGAGGACCCAGGGAGAGGAGCTTGGGAGGCTCGCAGAGGAGCATTTCAACAACGAGTAAGCAAGCACAGAGCTCTCACTCACATCTTCCTGGAATCAGATTGACTCACCTCCAACCCAGTCTGCGAGAAGATGACCGTGACTTACTGCGCAGCGCCGCATCCAAAGCTTCCAGACATGCCCTCATCGGCTCCCTCGCTGGCATCGCACTAGGAGGCTACCTCGCCTTCCGTCTACGAGCGAACCGCAATGCCATGTATCAAGCCTTCCGCGCCGCCGAGAAGCCTACTCATGTTCGATTCGCAAGCGGTCGAGAAGAGGCGATTCCAGACATCACCCCTTTGTTCCAGCCCACACCTTTAGGAGACATCATGACATACACCTTCTTCGGCATTGGTGGCCTCTTTTTGGGTGGTGAGACTGGTTTGCTCACTGGGACGTGGTCGGCGAGGAGGACCATTGCTCAAGATCCGGAACGCCGGGAAAGGATCGAGAAGGCGTTCCGGTCATTTAGAGCAGACGTCCTGAGAAAACAACTTCAAGAGCTGGAGGCCGGGAAGGAGGAGAGCATTTGGTCATAGAGCAGTGCGTCATTGGCTTTGATCGATGCTCTTGGATTGGAAAAGCAGGTAATGTCATGGATCAATGAGAACTACGACATTCTTTCCCAAAAAGCACAAACAGAGCGTTTGCAACTGGATTTGAGCTATGAATTTCCTCCGCGGTGGCTTTGGCATCTCCTGATTCTCGCTACTCATGGCAGCTACAGGAATGTCTCGGACTAAGTGATGCCTTCTTCATGAAAGCATCTGCCTTGGGTGATGTTCTCATCCTGGTGACACGTACTGACTGTCGGAGACGAGCACTCGGGATTCATGTCGAATGATCCCGCGGCGACAATGGCCGTATCTAATGAGTGTTTCGGCCAGAACTCTCGACGCGACTCTTCTGAATGCCGTCCCTTCAATTCTCTCCGTCACTGACTAAACTGTCCCCAGCGCGAAGGTCGTCTCAGTAACGACATTGCATAGAATCACCTGCTAAACTTCGGCTTCAACTATATTCACTGCCCCAGATCTTTAGTGACACAAACATATATACTTATATCTCCAGCACAGCCTGTCCATGCCTCTTCATTTATCACCAAAGACCCACCGCATTACAACTTCGATCTACTGCTGCGCGATCTTCATCAACATCTTCCTGAATCTGTTGCATCTGGGTCTGCGCACGAATCTTCTTTCAGACGATCAGCATGTCGATCAGACAGAATGCGGATCTAAAGTCTTTCACAAGTGGGGTGACCTGGTTCTGGCAGTCGGGGGGTTGCTGTAGGAGGAACTGCCTACCCAAGCAGCAGTGGACCAAATCTCAGAAGTCAGCTCTGAGGCCCAACAAGACGATGGGCTCCCCAGCGTTCAAAGTAATGTTGCATAGAAGCTTTGCTGAGGGACGGCTTCATTTCAGTTAGGAGGATCCGCCAAAGGTGTCACTGCCTGAGGACAATCCTGAACCCACGCTCCTCTTCTGCAAGGTCATGCACTACAGCCGAGGCGTCCACCATTTCAAAGGCTGTACGCTCTTCATGGGCTTGCCATCTTCGCAGACAAGTACGACTGCACCGGTCTCTTCGGTCTTGGTTCCACGGCCAGCTATACGGATTCGTTGGGGCCGGCCAGGACTGATTCGACATGGATGCACCCCTCAAAGAGGAATAAGTGTGCAGCAAGTCCTCAAGTTCTGCTCTCTGATGAACGGGCGCCGATAAGTTTGGGCTCGCGCCGAAGACATTCTACGCCCGTGTTAGCCCATGGAAGACCCGTCGCAGACTTCGGCTTGTTTTCAGGGATGAAATACCAGCACGTCTGATTAGTCAAATTTCAAATAGCATTCTTGCTATGAGCTTTCTGACACCCTCAGAGAACTTTCTGCTCACTTTTGGATCCCTGTACATCCACGAACTTGCTGCCGTCGGCCCGGAACTCACCAAGCAGGTGTCTAAGCAGACCGAATGGAACGGATACTTCACGCCCATTCTCAAAGAGAGTGCGACACGAATATATGATGGCAATATGACGAAGGACATATGGAAGACACCGGGCTTTGCTACGGCAACGTCGTCAGGGTCGGAGTCTTGAGCACTGCGCTCACCTCTTTGTCGCCCTTGCCTTTCAATGATCCAGAAGTCGACGCTCAACGCTCGCCAGCTGCTATGCTGCGCAATCTCCGACGTCTGGGCGAAATCGATTTCCGCGAAAAGAGGCTGTGCTGTCCCAAGAGTGCTCGCTGCAGTTGCACCCACCATGTCAACATTAAAACGGAACTTGATCTGAATATCAAGGCAGCACAACAGAAAGCACGTTGTATCTGTCTTGGATGCGTGAAGGATGGGACGAGGTCGACTGGCATTCTTTACGACGATGAGCCGCACTGTGAAAGGCATGCGTCGATGAGTGAAGTCTAAAAGAAAATAGGCTCAAACGGCCAGCGACTTCGAGGTTGTGTTGTTCATGGGTCAAGAAGCAAGTTGTCCTAAGCGCTGAATAAATGAGATATATCTCTCTGGTGTGTCTTTGAATCTTTTTTGTGGTTGCAACTCATATTCTTGGGAATGGCAGTAACGACTGGGTTAACAGGTGGGCGCTCCATCTTCTCCCTTTGTCATTTTTGCCAGCAATGGGCTACGTTGGTGTTTGTCTTCACTTTCAGTCACACTTTCTTCAACTGCCAAGTCTGTCACTTCACTTCTCGGTCCTCTTTTTGTCACTACACCACCATCACCTTGACCTTGACCTTTTCCTCTCCTTCTGTCATCCTGACCTTCGTCTTTTCTTTCGCTTCCTGATTTCTGAAATCTCTCTTCACTCTTCATTCCGCTAACGCAAATCAGTACACCACAGCCCACATCATGGCTTCGAGAAGTGAACCGGAACTTGTCCTTGTCCATCCGAACGGTGATCTAAGTTTGGAAGTCGGCAACGAACCCAGCATCGTGGAAGAAAATGAAAACAGGGTCCCAAACAGCAATGTAGATTCAGAAACAGTTCAGCAGGAAGTCAAGGAGAACAGAAAACCAAGGATCCTACGAATCCGTGTTTACAGCAAGTTCATGACCACGTCCTCACCGGTATTCAAAGCGATGCTGAATGAGTCTTTTCGTGAGGGCCAGCTTCCACTGAGCCCGGCAGAGCCACCGAACGTACGAAACTCACTTTTTTGTGGGCACATTGGTGAGTTAGCGGTAGCTAGATTGGTAATACGAACTGGCAAGATGTAGATCGGTGTAAAGAGGACTGGGACCGGAAGAGGTATTGAAATATCTCAGGCACTCCCACGGCAGATCAGGGGGTCCAAGCCTCCTCGCCTCGTATGCTTGACCCAAGACAAATGCACTCCTCCGCAGCTTTCTTTGTCACTGAAGTTGCCATCTCTGAAGATGGATTTCATGTGCCGGGCAGCTTCAGAGCTAGGCCACCACGCAACACACACCTAACGGACACAGCCCCCTTTAGCCGTACACCCAGCCTTTTTAAAAATATTCGCCTTCCTTCTTTCAGAGGTATGTTGCTACCTCACCACGACTTCCTTCCTCGATGAGAATCGTCCAGGAGGCCAAAGTATGGACGAACACCACCCTCCCTCGTACAAATACACCCCTGGACACTTCAGGCGATGCACTTCAGTTCTTATCCCTGAAATCGAGAACTTCCAAGACACTCTGTTGTGAAATTAGCGTATGCTCTCTTCAGTGTATGAGTAACTGCTACGATGAGTCATCGTACAGTAGGGGGAGGGATGACCGACAGGAGAATATCATTATTAGCGGTAGAAAGCTTGCCATGGACGAAACCACTGGAGTTTTGCCATTGAGCTCTTCAACCAGTACGGGCTAATCGACATCTGGCCCGACGCAATTTGTATTGACCAAGTGAGCACCACCGAGAGAAATCACCAGGTGCAAAGAATAAGTCAGAGCTACCAAGCTGCTCGCCAAGTCCATGTCTGGTTGGGATCAAACGCCTCAGCAGGCCTCCTCTTGGCCATCGGCCTTCTTGCCATCGCCGTGTCAACGGAGCTATTCGATAACTCGTATTTGGCGGCGGTTTGGATTATTCAAGAGTTAGTACTGACAGAAGCTAATTTAGTGTATCCGAAAAGGCCTTCTCGGCGCTGCATATGTCTCCCCTGGGACGAATTCGTAAGTTTTGCAAGCGACTTGGAAAAATATACTAAGAGCATTACTTCGTACGCTTCTAGGGAGAGAGCACAATATGGCGACATCATCGATGATGGATTGCCGGCCCCAGTCAAGATCTCGATGGATTGCTGGAAGACTACACGAACAGCCAATTCACAGAGGTCTGAGACTGTATCTACGGGCTGATTGGTCTGATCGATGACCCCAGCATCCACTCACTCGTGGAATACGAGCTTAATCCCGATGAGGGGGAAGAAGAGGAAGAAGAGGAAGTAAAAGCGGGATCAAGAGACTGTCTGAAACTGGCATGTTGAGGACTTCCAAGAGGGGTAAGGACGCTTTCTATTAATTCCCACATTGTCGAGATGAATTAACAAAGGGATACGTTCCTTTGGGTTCGGATTGGGACGGTCAGTATCGATTGAACCCCTCGACCTTTTTTCGGCTCGCGAGTACGACTGTAACACCCAAGGGGGCGGATATTCTCGCTGTTGCAATTGTATCCTGAGGATGTGATTGATCTACGTGACGCGAGTCAATCTAGTATCCATGGGCCGCAACCGGCATAACGCAGCCAAGAGAGTGATGCGCAGGCACCCTTTCCCTTAACCATCCGAAGCCCCCACCCCCTCTCCTCTCTAGATCTTCAGATAATAGACGGATACTGTAACAGACCCAGAAATTCATGGCTACGCCTATGTTCGTGAACGAGGACCCTTACCTCGGTCGGAGACTCACGCAGCCGGAGTTGGTAGAGGAATTGATGAGCATTACGTTCGCTGGCAGTGGCACAACCCCGTCGACATTAACCTACCTTCTGTACGCTATGTCTAAGGACACGGTAAGGCAAGAATGCCTGCAGTAAGAGCTACGGACTGTCGCCGGGACGAGCCTAAATGAGGTCAAGAACCTCCCATATCTGAATGCTGTCCTTAAAGAGACTTTCCGTCTCTATCCAACCATTATGTCGACGCTTCCGCGGATCTTGGACCGTCCAGTGAACATCGGAGACTACGTCTTGCCTCCGGACACACTAGTCGGCATGCAAAATTACGTTCATCACCGTGACGCCGAGCTCTTCCACCGTCCTGACGAATTTCTGCCAGAACGGTGGCTTGAGAAGAACGGAGATGCTTCGCGAATAAAGTACATGGAATCCGCACTCACACCGTTCTCGCTAGGCCCGCGGAATTGCATCGGCCAGAATTTGGCCAAGGCTGAGCTTTATCTGGCGGTCAGTAACATCTTCAGGAAGCTTAGGTTACAGTTAAACGCCGACATGACTAAGTAGGACATAGAGATGGAGGACCGTTTCAATATCGCGCCCGAGGGAAGGCGGTTGCTATTGTTGGATGTTTGGGTCATGGAAGGGGAGCGCAGCTACTACTAGTACTATTCAGCGCTATAAGTAGTATAGTACTAGAATGTACGATGTACTATAAATGCTATGTATACATCTAGTACTATATATTGTACATATTACTAGTACAGCCCATTTACAAGGGGCTGATTCTATCTCTGAATACTAGTACTCCGTACTACATAGTTCTGTGTACTAGTAAGTAGTACACATATTTACTACTGTATACCTATATCTTGTCTCTTCATAACACTACTAATACTGGTATATATACAGTCCTTCCCACCCGCAGGAGGACCAGAGAATTCTCTAATATAGTAGTATTCTATGACTAAGACATCTTTAAGAGTTCTCGCCTACTTTAAACCGATGAGAATCTTAAGGTTTAGAGATATAGTACTTATGTCGTCCTCCCTACAGATATTAGAACTCGTTCGAATCGAGTCAGCCTAATCAGCGGTTTAAGGACTAGATTTGGTTATAGCCCACTCTGAAACGATTTCAGATCGATTCGAACTGATTCGACTTAGTTTAACAATGAAATAACGAAAAAAAGTGTTTAATCGTTTCTAACTTAAGCCAACTTAAATTAATCTAAAATCGATTCGACTTAGTTCGAACCGATCTCGAATCGGGTTGAATCAGTCTAACCCAACTATAAACCCCTGAAATCAAGTCCGGCCCCGGCCAGAACCGGGCTGGAACCGGTTTAACACTAGGCGGGCGGGCAATATAGTATTAATCCCTTAGAGGACGGCAGTATATTATATAGCCGTTCTATAGAATCTCTCAGAGACATCCTAGAGATCTCTCTAAACCTTGAGATTCTCATCTATTTGACAGAAATGAGAATTCTCTAATATAATCTCAAGTTCGTCTCGAGGTGTATTAAACCTCGTACGGACGGGCAGGACTGTAATCTAGTTTCGGCTCGGTTTAAATCGAGTCTAGAATCGAGCTGGATTCAGGTTAACTGGGTTCAACTCTGTTCGAATCGGTTTAATCCGGGTTAAAATCGGTCAGGAATCGGTTAGGAATCGATCTAGTATGTGGTACTTACTACGGAAGCGGTATATCAGAAAAGGTCGATTTTTGTATCTTTCAATCTAGTATCTCAGTTTTAAAGAGGTCACAAAATTGGCTAAATTAGGCTTAGCGCAACTATGTGGTAACGACAAATGTCCCCTGTACATACTTGTAGAATGTGGCCTAGCAGGCAATTGGAGTCTCGTTCGAGCCTTCATTGTACCTCAGTGCGCTGCCTAGAGAGTGCTCGGTGAGGGTCAGTGCAGCCTCTTGCTTACATCGTTAGTATGTCAAGCTCCGGCTCAACTGGCGATCTAGGGTCAACCGGAGTACGGCAATTGCCTAACGAGGCTTACATACTCGCGAGTCTCCGTGCATAAGTAGTCACGTCGCAGTGGCATCCATTTAGGATCTTCATTCTCCGGGGCCCAACTTCCCCAACAATTTCTCCTTCTAAACCCCCACCCTCGGCAACTTCCCCATCCATTCCAGTCGCTAGATACTGCGTAGTATGGACGCCCTCGACGCGTAGTACGGAGAATATAACTCCGGATCACGCCTCGTCCTTCTCCGGATTCTCCACATGCTCCACGCCCTCGCCCTCACCGTTCGCCAACCCCTTGGGCTCCAGCACCTCTTGGACAATCTCTCCCTCCTGGCGCAAGAACTCGTCCAAGTGGCGATGGGGCAGTTTGCGGGCGACGCGCACGGGGTCGAAGATGGTCTTGGAAGCGGCAAAGATCTCGTCCAGCTCCTCCAAGCTGCGGCCGGCAGTCTCGGGGAAGAAAAAGAAGATGATAGGCACGAAGGCGGCGTTGAGCGCCGCGTATACGATGAAGTACTGGTATCCGATGTCCGTGAAAGCCACCGGCGTCACTTCTGCCACGAGGAAGTTGAACAGCCACGACACAGCGGTGGAGATGCCGCAGACCGCGGCGCGGAGATGGACAGGTGCGATTTCTGACGCGTAGAGGAATGGGATGCCCAGGAATCCAATCGTGTAGACGACGTAGTAGAGGTAGAGGAAGAAGACTGCCGCCTTGAGGGCCGGGTTGTTGTTAGGATTGGACACTAGACCCGTCAGGCAGGCCATACAGACGGCCATGCTGCTGGAACTGAAGAGCATCAGTTTGCGCCGGCCAAAGCGGTCGACCGTCCAAGAACAAAGACATGAGCCCAAGACGATGGCGAATTGCGAAGCGGCGGCAAGGATCCGAGATACAGTCGCATCGAAGTGAAGGTCGGATTCATAGATTGAGGAGGCATAGTAGGTGATTGCGTTGACACCTAGTGGATATGTGAGCCCAAATCTGCCCGCGAGATGAGGAAAACCAGGTCCCTAGAAATGAATGACGTACCGGTCATTTGGAGAAAAATCTGTACGCTCGCTGCAAGCACGACCCGATGAAACGTCCTCTGAGGTCCCATTTTGAACAACGCCTTAAGAGAAACCGACCCAGCGAGCTCGAGTGCAGACTGGATATCACGAATCTCCCTCTGCACCTCATCGTCAAGTGGATCGACGTTGTAGAGGAGACCAATGATCTCGCGCGCCTCTTCAACACGGTTCATTTTTATTAGCCAGCGAGGAGACTCGGGTAGCGTGAAGATGAACGTCAACACGATGACAGACAGGACGATTTCAAACGCGAAGGGGAATCGCCATGATATCGAGCCGGAGTAGTAGGAGAAACCGAAGTCGATCCACAATGCCAATAGTAGGCCGAGACCGCAGAATATGCCAAAGGCCGACACATGTTCGCCGCGACTCTCCGCCTTGGAAAGCTCAGATTGCCAGACCGAGACAGTTGCAATGATGCCGCCCGTCCCGAGGCCCACGACGATGCGGGAAACAATGAATTGTGCAAAGGAACATGAAGATGCCATCAGGATGGCGCCGACCATCTGAACCGCGGTGGCTAGAAAGATCGTGCCTCGACGTCCGAGAACATCGCCGAGAAATGTGCAGGCCAGAGCCCCAAATGTGCCACACAGAGTGTAGAGAGCGATAACGGTGCCTGGAAGGGTGATCAGTTATTAGATATACCAGATGGCGCGATGGTTCGTCGAAGACCCTTACCTTGGATGGTTGAGTTATAATGCTTTTGCGCGCCTGCTGTATCAATCACGTCCATCTTAGGAAATTCCCTATTGAAGGACGCAGTGGTGAGGACTCCGCCGGCGACTGCTTGGTTGTAACCAAAAATCATGACCGCAAACATGGCCAGGGCCCATATTGCAGCGTTCAGCCAGCGCCCACGAAGGCCCCAGAAGCGTTTCATGATGGCGGGAAACTAGTTGCGAGTTGGAGGAAGGGAACAAAACAGGCAACCTAACTGACGATGCCTATCAAGCTAGTATTTTGAATACTATTTCTGCTCAGTCGTCAGCGAACATGGAAAGGAAAGGCGAGCAGTTGAACTGTACCCCAAACCATTATATGACTCCCAGCCTGGGGATATATTGAAACTGTCCGGGCAAATTCCTGACCTTTTCCCCGCTTCGAGACGCAATCTCTTCCAGCTTTGGAAAGAGGATGTAGATCCATTTGCGTCGGCTGTCGGATATCCCTTCGGATCCATCATCAGCGATGCCCGTCTCTCTATTCGAGGGTGCTGATGCGGAGAACGGTGAATAGTTATGTGGCGGGGAGGCACCCGCCGAATTTCGCGCTTCCCTGTGCTAGTCAGTGTCTTTGAAAATGGGTTCGTGTTCGGGAACGAAAAAGCTTGTGTCGGAGAAGCAGCAAGGAAGTATCAATTCATAACCTTAATCCCACCTCTTAGCATCCTATTGGGAGCTCAAGGATGTTGTTGTTGCAGCTCACCAGTTAGCCTGAGTCTGCTCCGTTGTGTCCGGCGCAATCTCCTGGACGAGAAGGGCGAGGCTCGCTTCCCCGGTGCAAGAAGGAGCGTAAAAAGTACGCCTTTAGAAAGACTACATATCTCCCTCAGCGAGCTGATGTGCCTGGAAGCGCCGCTTTGCATCTGTAGGAAATCTGGCCCGCCAATGTTTGATATGTGTTCTTGTGTAATGGAATTGACTGATTTCTTGCGTGTTGGGTCTCACCATTGCACTAACTCAATAAGGACTAGCACAGTCGCGTAGCCGGCACTGCGGCAAATTCTACTCCAACTGTCTGTCTTTGGCATCGATCAACATTCGATTCTGCAACCGCCCTTTTGCAAGAACTCGGCAGAGGCCGTGCCTTCTGCAAATGTACGCGGACTTCCTTAAAACTCAACCGATATCGCAAAAAAGAAGACAACTGATGCATACGCTGCTACCTCTGGTGTCTAAGCGGCATTTTGAACCCAATGAGGGCGAAAGTCGCACAGATCTGCATCGATTCCGGCGATACTACTGAGTTGTACAAGGCAATTGATGAGGTTGCGGGACCGAGTTGCGGGGTTAATTAAGTGGCCAATCTACGCAAAATAACATTGTGACGGTTGCCGACAAATGTATAGGCGCCCTTGCGGACAGAGGACCACATACGGCAAATCCCGATCAGACGTCTTATAAGCGTCACGGCCATCCACCGAGTCGCCAGTGCCCTGGCTGCCGAAATCAGGAGAGTGGATCTAGACCTCAGGTAGAGCTACCACAAGAGCTTTCTGCAGTGCGCTACCGGAGAAGCATTCAAACGGTCTTTTGGACATAGTTCGGCGTCTACTGCCACGGTCTAAACAGAGGGCAAAGGGGAGGTCTATTACTGCAGCTCTGTGGATGGTTCATTCACTCACTCACTTATTCGTTCGGCTCTCTCCCGGGGGGAGGACATTATACTCTTTGACATCTTGTTTGTGATTGGGGAGTTTGTAGTTCTGTTCCTCGCTTCCTCGCCCTTTCTTTGGCCTCCAGCGTCTCTAAATATCCGATCAGGTCTCATTCGAGATCGAAGTGTCTAGCAGCCAGATTATTTCTGTGCTTTTCTCGTGTTATGAACCATAGTCAAGTGATAATGCCACCTCCCTGTATAACGTGTAATGTGTACATGGTCGGGTCCTTTCCTGAGTGATACTATTTGGATTTGTGTCATATGTCCAAGCGGTGGTGAGTACTGTTTTATACCGTTGGCGGGAGGGTCACCCAATCTCCAATTCTGGGACAGGAGCTGAGTTTGTCAAAAGAGCGACCTGACACAGGTTTCTCCGACCCAGGGTCGCCGTGGCGCCGGTCACTGGCGCATCGTGAGCGTTGACTCGTGCCTTGAACGGCAAACTCTGAGTGAAGGCACTCAGTAGGGACCGTCAAATATAGCCTCCCTTCTTCGCGAAGTGTACTCCTGCCGCGAAGTAGAACAGCTTTGCCGCAACCATGTAGTTGTCCTGGTTGGCCCACTTCATCAACCTCTCATAAAGTTCGTCCAACGGCACTATCACCCTTTCGATCAACTCCCCATCATCGAGTCTTTGTTCTGGCATAAAATCTTCTTCGCCGCTCAGTTTCACTTCCACCATCACTAGCTTGATCGTGGAATTTGTCATTCCAGGGTCACTTGCCAAAACAGGCGATATGTCAAAGACCTTTCCGTCGTATCCAGTTTCCTCTTTCATTTCTCGGACTGCAGCTTCCTCTGGCGTCTCGTGCTCGTCAACCAATCCAGCGGGCCATTCGACGGTGTATTTGCCAATTGGCGGACGATACTGGAGGACCAGCAAGGTGCTCGGCGGCTTAGAAGGGTGCACAAAGATGTTACCCATGGCCACGGCGTCAACGCCAGCCTTGGGAGTTGTCTTGCGAACGGCAACCTCCCAGGTGCGAGCAGTGCCCGTCTGGTCTATGAAATCAACTTTCTTGAGCGAAACCCATTTCGCCTGCGCAGGATGTAGCTCTGTGATGGAGATGACCTGCGGCTCTTGTGTTTTGGGCGACATCTGGCAAATTGTGGGCGATAAGAAGCTTGACGATGTACCTGCCGATATCACAGATCAATAACAAGAGGAAAGGAGGGAGGTTGCTTCCAGTGGGCAAGAAGAACAGAAGCCAAGAGAATAGTCGAGCGGCGGAAAGATGTGAAAAAAGTTCCACTAGGCGTCTCGGCTGCCAAGACATCTTCTTGGCTAGCGAGTTAATCTGGACCTCCAGTCTCTTGGACTCTCAGCCGCCATCAACTTATCACTCGGTCAGCCAATATGAAGCACGCTTTCTTTGTGATTCAGGTATGTGGGACATAAAGGAAATCTCAGTATATTCATTCCAAGCACAAAGTAATGGCTTTTTTGCAGACAACTGCCTTTTGACCGCCAGACCTGACAAAGACATCACCCACAGTGCCTGGACAAGGACAGCATTGTTTACGAATGCCCGCTTTTGCAGTGGAGTTGGGGGCTCTTTGTGGATTTTCAATGGTAATTCAAGCAGCTGGTATGGCTCAATCAGCCAGATGCCTCCGCCTTCAAAGCTGTATTGCTCTGGACAATGATGCCTGTCTTTCTCTACTGCCACTGCCTTTCCCTAGGGATAGTGAGCCGCGGATATCCTTGACTATATATGTCCATATCATCCGCTGTCAAGGTGTCGACCACGAGCATCAACCACTTCCATCACGGCAATTCTCCCAGCAATTGTTCACCATCGCACGCCAGAATTCCCCTCTTGATCTCTCAAACATTTGACCAAGTCGCTCCAACATGCCCCTCCTTGGCCCCCCAGCTTCCGAGCCGTGGATCCCAGAAGACCAGGTCGTGAGAACCTCGGACCATCTTCTATACGAAGTCGCGAAGGATGGCGATGCCTATTTCTCTGTCTCCTCGCCGTGGGCCGACGATGAGGCCGTGTTGATACGCGTCTCGAGTCAAGCGCTGACTAAGACCACGCAATTCTTTGCGGCGCAGTTCGGTGCACATTGGATACCGGAAAGTGGTAAGTTCACGACCCAGAATCCGCTCGTCTTCTCTGAGAATTTTGTCGATTTTGTGACGTTCCTGCACATCGCCAGCGAGGACGGCGTCGTTCCAGCAGCGGCAATCTACATCCTGAAACCTGTGGCTGTGCTGCTTGACAAGTACCTCTTCAAGGGCACCCTCCCCGTTTGGTGTGAACACTTACTCATGGACTACTTTTCTGGGATCTTCCCCTTCTACAACGACGTGATTCTCTGTCGTCAAGTGGCTGACGACACAGGAGATTTGCCGGTTCCATCTCTACCATTCGTCCTTCAATGTGCATACTTCCTCAATCTTCCAGTGGCTTTTGCAATTGCTTCCCGACGGATGATGTGGCAAATGACGGTCGATGAAGTTAGAGCATTTCTCGCAGATGAATTCCATCCGAGACTCTATGTCGATTTTGCGGAGTTGCTCCAGTTCGATTATGTGGAATGCTTCGAACAGGAAGCCGTCAGATTGCGGACGGACCTCGTTTCAAAGCTGCCGACGGTGTTCCAGCCGGATCCTCACGGCGAGCGAGCCTGGTGGTGCTCCCGCTGCCAACACGTCCCCCAGACAGAGCGCTGGCACCGCGAGGTGATCAGCAAATCTCAGGGATGGAATCACGAGCAGGGGCGCGGGCTAGAATATAGTCTAGACACCCTATTCGAGGAGTACATCTCCGATATGACCCGCCTGGAGACCTTCCGAGATCTCGCATCTGGGGGCGAGCCGGCGCTCCCCTGTGGAAGGTTCCGCCCGCGCTACTGTGACATCGCAGACCGTGAGATGCTGTGGGACGTGTACTCCGCGATTGGGGGACTGTGTTTGCCGTGCGTCAAGGCCGGCGAGTTCAAGTTTTGTTCGTTCTGCCCCAAACACAACCTCGACCTCACTGTAGAGCGGAGTCCAAATGAAGTCAACTGGGAAAATGCACGAGAGAATGGATGGCAACCTTGATTCGTATGAGCTGACGGTCTAGGAGGCCTCTTCGCAACAAGACGCACGCGCGAGTTGCTACAAGCGGTGGTGCATGGAAACGGCGAGAGTAGCAGGTTGTGCGGGCTCAAGAGAGCACACAATGAAAAACAAAAAAAGGGGGCCAAAAAAAGGGACAAAAAACCCAAAAAGAGAAAGGTGTGCTCAGGTGAACTTAATTAACAACAATGGATCCGCGATTATCTCTGTAGCAAATTTCCACCCCCCTCTCCCCTTGAACTGATCCGATGGGTGAGTGCATCTTGTACCACGTACCGTATATCATGTATCACTAATCATTGACCATCGCTCTGACTCATTGATAAGTGACCTGTTCGTTTGATTGATATGCATATCGCCCTTCGATAGCGACAGGACGATCGGATGAACGATCGGCCACCGACGACAGCAACAACAACAATAACAACAGAACGGGCCTGCTGATCGAAAAGCAAACCATGATGAACCAACGCCAAATCGCCGTTCAACAATATAAAAATTGTCCATAATGCCTGGATCAGAAGAGAGACGGAGAGTCATGGGTTGGATTTGATTGCCATCTCTTGACACGGAATATTTCAAAGAATTTCGAACTGGAACCGTCATCCATCTGCAGACCGCCATGCCGGTGTCGACATTTCAACTGCTCAACCACTTCGGAAAGCCACTTCTGTGGGATGTTGCTTGTCATCGAGCCACTTTTGAGGAGATGGTGTTATGGTACCTCAGAGTCCACACCTGGTTCCTTGGAGCCCTTGTCGCCACAGATTTGATAACATTGGCTACTCGGTCGTTTAGGAGGCCATTGCATCCCTCGCAGCAAGTAGATGGAAGCTTGGCCCCGTCAGCGTCAGATGGACAGCACCCTATCAACGGACCAGAGATACAACCGCGACAATCTCGGCCATGCCTGGATCAGGTAGGGTTTTGTTCTGACATGCAGACACCGGGACGTCACAATTCTAATCGACAAAACCCTGTCCAAGCCAACGTGTCCCAGCCTCGCCACCCAAGTCGGATTACAGCCGGCGGCAGAATATCGAGGTCTTACACAATCTTGCCCCGGAGAAACAGCGAGAGGAGCAGCGCTGGAAACCGGGATTCCTTCAATGAAAGTCAGTGCTTTGTCCCCATGTACGAGCTTGATGACACGGGGGTCAGAAGAAGGCACCAAAGGCCGGTTATTCTGCGAGGAATCCGGGGTGGAGCAGGCGACGAAGTCCAAGATGAGTCCCAAAATGAATGCCCTCAGACGACTGAAGAACCCAATCCTTAGGATGATCGGGATGCGGAGGAGTATTCCGGAAACATGAGTGAATACCCTTGAACTCGAAGATCTCCTCGAAGCAACAACAAGCGATTTCGATGAGCTTCAGAGCCACTGCGACGGAAGTTTGATCAGAGAAGCGCTGGTACTCAACGAACGCATACGCCTCCGTCGGGACGTCGTGAGCTGAAGGAACGTTTAGAACAGCAAATCAGGATTCTGGGCCTTGAACCGGAGGAGCTAGATACCGCAGAGATACACAGGCCGGGACAGAGTATGATATCCGCGGGAAGGAATGAAATGTATGCAGGCGGACCTTTGCCATGGAGGCTTCGTCAGGCTCGATCACAGAGGCAGTGCAGTCCCTCGACCAATAACCCGAGTTCAGAGAAAGAGGTCTAGAACACTAAGCAATTTTGAAGCAAGCACATAATCAAAAACACAATTTCAACTTGAGTTGAGTCTAGAGTACTTCCTAAAGTGACTCCCTTGATGGCTGTAAAAGGGCTGGAGGTCCAGCAGCCATGGGCTGATTGTTGTGAAGCTGAGATTGTCTAGGGTCCGATCGCGTTCTCAATTGTTGCTTGTGTTCTCGTTGGTCCCTTCGGTCTCCTCTTGAGCTCATGCGAAGCCGCGTTCGTCTTCATATATGTGCTGTCGAAAGGGATGGAAGTTTCTCAAGAGTTGTGGTACGTTCAACCGGCCAACATCAACATTTCTGCAACCTCGAGGGCAATCGCGAGTATACGTGTGTCTCAGGCCTTCTAGCTTACCAGGAGAAGAATAGGAGCTGGCCCCGTCCTGACAGTTGATAATTTCGGCAAGGAAGCTAAAGTAACGCCAACCAAGGGTTTGTTGGACCGAACGTGGCCTCCGAGATGCGTGCTTGAAGCAACTCCTGACGTTGACATGGGGCTCCACGTTGCCTCCAAGTAACCACGGCCCCTCAAAATGCCCTTCGGCACAGCCAGACCTCCAACGGGAGTCAGCCGGGCAGAGATGAAAACTCAGCCACCTGGATCGGAGTGGGAAGTGGACCTTATAATGAGACACTTCCCTTCGACGCAGACGAGGTGGCTGACTATGGGACCTTATTCGACCATCAGCCACACGGGAAGCCTTATGTTGCATCAGCATGATGGCGCCCGAGTCATCCTGCGAACCATCCACGAGATCGATAAAGGGCTCTCTTTGGTTGAATACCAAATCTCTGAGATCCACGGGTTGCATGACACGTTCCTTTCTCTCGACATGTATCCAAGGACCCTCGTCTTCTTCGCCGTCCCCCGGGGACCAGACGATTTCAGTGGGAAGCCGGGGTTCATCGCTGAATGCACCAGGGGGCAGTTGCAGTCTGTACACATTAATTGTCCAAGGCTCGCAAATTTTCAGGCTCCAGTCTGCCGGAGTGGGCCCGTACACAAGTTGCATCATCTCCCCTCCTTGTGCCTCTGATCTGCAGGAGCCTTGGACACCGAGAGACCTCCAAATCTCAGTCTCCTTTGTGCCGTACTCGCACAGGTCAAGTCCGGCTCGCTGAATCATTTCAGCCCAAGTATGAATTTTATGCACCGCCGACCGAAACCACGATTCCCATTTCCACTTTCGGACGAGTAGAAGATCCTGCAGCGGCGTTACCTGCCACCCTTCTGGATAATAGTGTGGGTAGAAGACCGTTACAGGCGCTAAATAGGAGCCGGCTTCTATTACCGCAACGCTCGAAGGATCTGCGCCATTCTCCAGGGCGCCGAGTCCAACATGGAACCATTCTGGGTGTTTCTCAAAGTTGGATGCAACACAGTGGAGGACAGTCCTACCTTTGCTATTCTTTAACGAAGCGAGTCTCCGGTCTCGTGCCTGCAATCCCACACATCTCAGAAAACCAGCAGCATCGATATCATCAAGCTGCGAGGCCAGCTCAAATCTCATCTCCAATGGGCGACAGTCAAATCCGGAGAATTGATTCTGCAGTATGACCTCTAGGCTTTCGGTTTCTTTACAATTTCGCAGCCATTCATACTGAAAACTATTGTCGAGGTCTGCATCAAAGTCTGGGTCTGCCATAAAAAGGCGATACATTTCTGCAGGCTGCGGGCTGGAGAAGTTGTAGAGGCTAAAAAGCTCAAGAGCACGGCTGAGCCTTGTCCCGTGGTCTGGCCACTTTGTCTGACCGAGGAGATATTGGCAAAGTTCCAGCGATCCTCTTTCCGCAGCGACCTATGACTCGTTACATTTGCCAAAAGCGGCTTTGCTGTATTGACCGTGGGTGCTTACCTCGATGACTGTCAGCCAGCCGCCCACCCCACTGTAGCCGTCATATATGGCATCTAGTGGTGTCGCTTTTCCACTTTCAATGAGCCTCCGGATTCCTTCGAGGCTACCATTGCGACAGTAATGGAAGATGGGCGAGTCATGGGGAACGTTATGGAATGTTTGCAAATGGATAGACCAACCCCATTGAGCCTGAGTGACGGCAAAATCGAATACGCGAGCAGTAAGCCAACGAGGGAATCGAAAAGTAGCCCGGAGGCGCGGTTTGGTGTTCTTCCCTTTGGCTCCTTTAGCTTGATCAATGGCTAGAACATCTGACCCTTTCGTCATTTCGATTTCTCCAGCTCTTGCGGCTATCGGTCCACTTCCTATATTCGTCTGCGCCGGGGAGATCATTATAGGGCGGTGATGGGGCGACAACGTTGAAGACTGGGTAAGCAGTGTTAATTGTTGTAAAAGACTGGCATTTGCGGCCGAAATTTGAGCCTGAAGACCATTGATCAGAGCGCCATGAGGAGCTAGCATGTCGGCGTACGCCTGATCTCGCCGTCTCAGTTCTTCGTTCAAGTACATCATGTATGCAAGTTCAAGTGAGCTCTTCGCCTTCTCTAACCCGTCAAGCAGCTCTTTGACATCACGGTGTTTGAATGCGGCATATAACCTGCCACTTATCTTGGCGGCTTTTGATAAACGGTCATCCATCTTGTCGATTAATTGCCGTATTTCGCAAATATGCAATTCGCATTCCACAATGCAGCGCGCGAGGAGAGCATCGCTTGCAGTTCTCTGCTGTCGGTATTGTTCGAGTTGCCGTAACGCCATGGCCATTGTCTCGAGGCCGAATAGGAGTCGTGAAATTGTTCGCGGCGCGTCCCTGGCCGCATGGTAGATCCGTTGCAGCTTTGCAGCGCTTTCAAAGAGCTGAATACTCAACGAGAGCAAGCCGGCTCCGCTGGCGGCAATGCCAAAAACCCCCTCGACACCAGACATTGCGAGAGATCCTGCTCAATGATCTAGGATTGAAAGCAAACTCGACTCGTACATGATGAGTGAAAAGTGTAAAGAAGCGAAAAAAGATTCATGCGAGTTTGTCCGTAAAGTGAGGCTGGCAGTTTGACGCCTAGCACGTGTCGTGAACTTAGGCGGCACGCTAGCTGAGAAAATCGCCTTCTTTAAGGAAGGTCCCCGTAGCATTGAGCCATATTGCAGGGAATAGCGCCGTTAGGCTTAGGGGGACGAGAAATCGTCTGGGGCAGAGCATTGCCGCCCCAAAAGTTCGCCGCCGGGGCTAACCGTTCAAGATCCAAGTATACCGAAACTGTTCTGCGGTACTGATATTGTGAATCGGGTCTAAGAAGAAGCCGGGGAAGGGAATTATATCATCCATGGTGTGTCTTAAATTGGGACTGGAATAGAATATTTACTTGGTAGACCTGAGAACGAGCAAGACTGATCCATCAAGTGCATGGAGTCTCGCAGTATCGGAGTTAAGGGTCATGCGTCCCGGAGTTACTAGGTTTAGTGTACAACAACCCCATATCCCCATGGAAGCGGGAACAGCCATTCATATGTATATCGACGAGGGGGCTTCTACCTAGCGGTAACTATTACCGGTAATAATATCAATGACACTCCGAATCTCACATCAACCTCTGACCTCCCTTTCTTATGAGTGTGAGCAGCCCCCTCGCACTCAAGCCCAGGTAATCCAGAATGTCCTACTCTACAGAGAACGATGCCAGGATCATCATCTTTGGTCCGACTGGCCACGTTGGCTCGGCTGCCGCTCGGGCTGCCCAAGAACAAGGCGTCAAGGTGTTCCTGGCGATGCGAGATCCGGAAAAGGCGATCCCAGGGCTCAACACCGAACGAGAGCAAGAGGCAGGCTTCGAGAGGGTCTACGCTGACCTCACAAAGCCCGACACGGTCCACGCTGCTGTGACCAAGACTGGAGCGAAGCGCGCCTTCATCTACCTGATCTTTGGGACGCCTGATCACATGAAATCCGCCATCGTCACACTCAAGTCCGCAGGCATCGATTTTGTCGTCTTTCTGAGCAGCTACACTGTCCCCGACAACCTAAGCATGGAGAGCATTTCGCCGAACAATTTCATCGCCTGGGGACATGGCCGGGTCGAGATCAATCTAGACGAAGTGTTTGGATCAGACGGGTACGTGGCCGTCCGACCTGGGTCTTTTGCAAGTAACTCGCTGCGGTGGAAGAAGATGATCCAGCACAGCGAGATTGAAATTGCATATCCCGAGGCGCTGTTTGATTGGATATCGCCGGGAGACATCGGCAGAGTCTGTGGAACCGTCGTCGCCAGGGGACCTAGGGCTGTTAATGGAAAAGTGATTCGGCTGTGTGGACCTGAGATCATGTCCCAGGGCGAGGCGGCAGATGCCATTGGCAGGGTGATCGGCAAGGACATCAAACTAACCCGACTGGACGAACAAGGAGGTGTGGACTTCTTTATGAAAGTTGCCCACTTGTCGGAGCCTGCAGCGCGGCAAGTGATCGCGATGCTCAAGAAGAGGGTGGAAGACGGGAAAAGTGATGGAGGCCACTATGAAGGCCTTAGATATGAGGAGGCAGTTGCCAATATTCAGAAGTATGGCGGAAGGCAACCTACTAGATTCCACCAATGGGTTGAAGAAAATAAAACGGAATTTGGTGTTTGAAGGATCGAGAGGTGAAAATCGTGGCGGTCATAGTTGGTCGACGTACTCCGTATCTCTATGGACAGCTTCTCCACTCGATCATCAACTCGCCACACTCTCCTGCTCCATCGCATAAAGGACCAAGTGTTGGGCTTCAAGTTTCAAGTACTTCCACTCTGTGTTGCAACTCGATGTTTCTCATCAATGATGCCATTGCCGTAGCCAAATGATCACCGGCTCCAAAAAGCGCCAGTCTGAGGCCCAGGGCTTCGTTAAGAGAGTCGAGCGCTTCCAACATTTGTAAGTTTCCTTGTCTTATAATGCCTTGGAGGTACAGAAATTTTGATCGTAGCTCGGTGCGGACTTTCGAATCGTATTTGAGCTCGGTACACATTTGGAGTCCGACCTCGGTCATGGTACTAGCTTCTAGATTTCCAATTCTGACATGGTACGACGCCGTCCGATACTGGTCATACGTCGAGAGCCAGGCATCGAGACCGTAGCCTACAGGCCTGCATAGGTTGATGTGTTGCAGCTGTTTGACGTATGAAAGGGCTGTACTGGCGTCCTCGGAACAAAAGAAAAGACTTCAGAGAGAGCTGGTGATGGCCTCTGTCTGAAACCTCTCGTGTCCGTGACCTTGGGCCGTCACATCCTTGCCAACCAATAGAATTCTCTCCGATATTGTACGCACACTAGCAGTTCTAGCGGTGGTGCTATTCGTGAGGTATCTAGTGATGTGTTGTAGAAGGGTAGTTAGTGGATGAGCACCTTTGGTCGCATTGTTCATTTGATTCGCGATCACCTCCGCCATTCTCGACATTTTGTTAGATTCCAGCGGTCAGCTGCGGGTCACCAACAGCAGCAAACAAATCACAAGATCCAGATCATCCTCCCTCACCAGATCAGGTATGACATTAAGTACGTCCATGTAAGAGACCTTCTCATGAGCGTCGAACAGATTGTGATAGTATGCCGATTCAAACTGAAGCCATTTGCGCAAGAACAGAGCGAGGGCCTTCTCGTTGATCCCCAAAGACTGGGCTTCTTTTTGGCAATTAAAATATTCAACGCTCCTTTCAAAACATCTCTTGGTGTAAAACAAGATCTGCTCATGAGATCCAGAGAGTTCTGGAGAGCGAAGGGAGCGTAAGCCGAATGATTGGCATGTGGAGGTCAATTCGACCCAACGACCTTCGGTTGAGAAATCGCGCGCTCTTAGGGAGGAAATAGGACTGGATGGGCTGCTGGGTGAGGAAACTGGAGCCACGGTCCAGTCGTTGTCTAAAGTGGCATGTTCCCGAGCGACGTCAGCTAGGCCATCCTTTCCTGGACACGGGCTTGGTGTACGGTATGCTACACAGGGAGGAGTCCTTGGGATGTCGGCAAATTGTGCTGGGTTGACACCCCTGCGCTTCCAGTAATTTCCAACAGCTCGATGGCTGCGGTCGCGTCCTCGGATCTTGAATACAGTGTCCTTCCCGTGTCTACCCTGGAGCTTTTGAAAAGCAAACACCATATCAATTTCCTGAGCCCGAGGAGTTAGCCCTGTCAGTCTAACAAAGGAGCGCAGGCATTGGTTTGCCTTGTTCTTCTTGTCTAGACCCCGTTTCTTTATGTACGTCTTGTAATGGCATTGTCTTGGGGATGAATTAGCTCGACAGTCCCTGCCAGTAGAACGTACGCACTCAGCACGAAAACCTCGACTCTTCATGATGTCTACAACATCGGACAGTTTTTTCCCCTTGGACATGGTAGAGGTCTGTAAACGCAGGCCGAATCTTTTCTTCCCACTCCTTGGGCGTGTGAGGGTGAAATCGCTTGCCAGGCTCCATTGGAACGGCTGAGAATGGGGTGGTAGAAAGACAGCACAAGTGCAGACAAGCGGGAGAAATATATATATCTTGTAGACTTTGGCTCTCACACGCAGCAAAATATCATAGGCTCCTTGAAAGGCAATTCTGTTGGCCGTCGCAAAAGTCGTTGTGCAGATAGTTAGCCCAGACGGCTTGCTCAAGTTAGTGCAATGCCTCCATTGAGTGGCGCTGTGCAAAAGTCGTCGCAGGGGACGCGCTACTGTGTGTCCACATCTGCGCCCAAGTTCCATTGAAAGGGATGCATTTCTTTGATGAGTTGGGCCACGAGGCTGACGCACCTGCTTGGATACGCACAACTAGCGGCGAAGAGAAAATACTTGTAGCAAAGGCATACAGTAGCATGAGAACGACTTCCAGCAGCTTATCATACAAGAAAAGTTAGGGTCAAGTTGAAGACCTACAATGGGAATATCATCAAATTCGCCGGCCGCAAAGATACCAACGAGCAGCCTTGGGTGATCTCTGTCTATGCTCGTGAAGGGTGCAGACCTTAGCACTGTGAGTTGGTGCGTGATCATCAGCCTCACTCCCAGCCAGGTGCTGTCCCACGGATGCCAGCTTCAGGTCCTTCGGTTAGATTTAGGCAGGCTTTGACCTGCGCGATGTCTCGTGTCGAGGCCGGGTCTCCGTTGCTCGTTCCCGGCCTCCAGGCAGCCACGTTGCCTGTTCCCTGCGAAGCAATCGCTTGAGAACCTGTAAAAGCCATTCGCTCCACAGCGCCAAAAGGTGAACCGCCTCGACAAAGCGGAAAGATGCCAAGCCCATGCTAGCCTTATTGGTACTAGCAACTCTTGGTTTCATGTCGCCCTTCTTTAGTCTCATTGACAGTTTCGCTCCTTTTCAGAGACACATACCTGGGCTCGCCTTGAATATACCAGTGGGGAGCATTTGGATATATTAAAGACGGATGGAAGACTCCCAGATGGCTCTGAGGAGGCCTCTCTATTTATGCTATCTGAATACAAAGGACATACCTCAATACTGCATGCGGAAGTCACGTGGCCGTGCTCCTCTGTTCAACAGCTCGCCGGCGCTCCGTATTTGCACACACCACACCCAGCGTCGCCTACAATTGCTTCCCCCCAAGAAGCAGCCAGACCTTGCGGGTCAGATGATCCCAATGGTCCCTACCATCTGGGATGCTTGAAATACTTGTCTGGACTCGTTATCTCCAACTCAGCTGCTCAAGTTGCTCCCAAACCTCGCTCAGTCGGAGGCTAACTTGAATCAACCCTTACAAAATGCCACTCATAGACCAAATCTGGTGAGCAGTGCTTGGAATTTCATCCTCTTCGCTCTGGATTGCCAGCCAAGACGAGATGATTACTGGACAGATGGATCAGGCGAGTATCGACAAAGGACAGAGATTACCGCACCAACTCCTGCTCCCTATTGATATAATGATCAAAACTGTCCCTCCCTTAACGGTTGAAGCCTTGGAATCTGCGGCAATTGACCTTCTAGCCATCTTATATGTTTCAAGTCTGGCTAAACCCCAATGGATTGAAATAAGCGGTGACGAAGCCCGGGTTGTTGGCAAGTTCGGCGAGAAAGGTCTGGGCCTAGGCAAACCTCGTGTTTTTGAGGGTCTAAAACTCCCCAGCCTCAGTCACCACCAATCATACAGAGGGCGAAGGAAACACGCCTTTTAGCTTGGAGTACTTGTCAAAAACTTGCTTGTCAACCTGCCGAACCAAGTCGCTCGAGGTTGAGTCGGTGCGGGTCATACCCCAGTCCGGCATTCATCATTCTCAAGCGCTACTCGTTTAGATCCGAGAAGAATGCGAAATAGATCTATGCAGCAACTTGCGATCGAGAAGCCCAGCGAGTCCTTGCAATGAAATACATCCCGAGGGTAACACTGTGAATGTTGCAGCACAGACGATTCATCTCCAGGGTCGGCCGACTTTGCTTTTCGTCTCCTTCCCCGTTCCCTGTATCGGCAAACGTCTCTGTTCTCCTGATCTTCATTTGGAGCTTCTCTGCACGTTCTCCGAAGGAGAAAGGCCTGTGGTTCAGGAAGAACCCACGAACGGAAGGGGTGGTCGTCACCTTCAAGGATCATGATTTTGACTCTGCTGTGAGTTCTCTATCTGCCTCCCCGCGTGGCCCGCGCCCAGCCACGAGGCTGACTGTCCTTTGATACAGCTTCTTCTTCGGGGACGCCGTCTTTCGCTTCCTCAGATACCGCCACTACACGGTCGACATCATGTACCTGTGGGCAGAAGTAGTGCGAGACAACCCGCAGAGCATAGCCGAGTTTTGGCTCTTCATCTCGATCTTCGCAAGCTGTGAGGAGGCGGCACAGCTGGGCAATGTAGCTCAGCGGGGTGGTTTGCGGGTAATTGGGCAAACCGCGCGATGGATAAATGTCATCTTGTCCCTGCTCGCCTTTCTTCGCTGGCGTCGGCGTCGATCTCGCCCACAAGTTCGTTTTGGTCAACGCACTCGAAACTTACAGCAGCGAAGACCCAGACGCTTGCCACACCCCTCACCACGACCAACACGATCCTCATCGGCGTGTCAATCGGAGTCTACGGCGTGATGACCGTGGCTGGAATCTACGAGACAACCATCGCGCTGAGCTTCAACATCGCCGACGACGCCAAGTATCACAGTGGCATCCACAAGTACCGGAGATACTGGACTGTCCTGATCGTGGCATTCCTCGCCTGCTCGATGCTGGGGCTGGCCTTCGTCATGGTCTTCGACTGGTTCAACATGGAACCGTACGACCTGTTCAGCATGATCTACGCCATTGTCTACGCTGCCACCACGGCCGTCATGCTTTTCTGCATCGCTAGCCTGATTAAGATTCAGAATCCAATGGCGGACGAGGAGCCGTCGTAGCATGGAATATCGTTCGTGGCTTATGGTTATGGTAATAGCAATTGTAGCAACGTCGCCTTCGCCCCGCCGCGAGCCTGGGGTTAAAGCAGCCTCCCGTGGTCTACACGCGAATTCCGTTCCGATCATCAGTCACATTATGCGATGAATACGCTCTGAATCTCCAGGAGCACGGCTGGCTCTGCACAGAGCTAGGGCAGGCCTATGTATGCTGTGAGTACGGAGTACGTGGATGGCTGTCATGATGTCTTGCAACGAACCTGACGAAGGAATACGCGCTGACGATATGTACTGGGTGGCACACAGCTACATAGACAAATCATTCGTCCCCGCTCCTTTCACCCTGTTCGGTCTAACTTAATGGGCTTCACAAGATCCGAACCGTTCATTGATCCCGAGGAAAGGGTAGAATTACTTAGCATTCTGGGCTACGGAGGAAGGCAATCCTCTTCTTCCACGTATATTCTGTTTAAATGACTTTGGAGCGATTCAATGAGTTTCAAACGGAATCTTTATTTTTCCACCTAAGTCATCACAATCATGTGCTAGTTTCGTATCTTCATGAATGCACTTTTCTCCACGTGGAGGGTATTGATTCTATCAAAGTACAGTTTTGCTGAGATATACAACCCAAAGACGCCAACCTCTCTCACCGTCTCTCTCGGAAATAATCATAATTCGTATTCAGCTCTTCTCTGGGAGTCACGTCCCGATAAACGTCGGCTTCGCTTCCATCCCGACTCCCCACCGGTGTCCGCCACCGGTCCAGAGACATGAATTCGCCATTCGGTGTTCTGACATCGCCAACACCTCCTAGCAAGTTTGTCCTATCGTCATATGGATCTGTGAAGGGACCATGAGGTGCCCCTGGGCCTCCGCCGGAACGATCAGGGGTAATCACAGGAGAAAGCCTGAACTGGCTCGGAGCGTTGGATTGATCAAACTGCTTGGGATGGACGGTCGTCTGTTGTTGTGTTACCACCTGAGGCGCAGGACTCGTATCCCTGGAACTTGAGGGCGAAGAATCCTTTTGGCCGACGAACGACGAGGCTGGTGTTTGGCTTCGCGAAATGGAGAGCATATCACCTGCTTCTTCGCGGAAATCCTCACGATTTTTGTAGAACTGGAAGTCCTGTTGAGCCTCGGGGACAAACTCAAAGGGAACATCCTGAGCCGGCTTGCTCGCCTGGGTCATGGGTTGCATGGCTATATCTGAGAAGGCCATGGATTGTCCTCCGTCAGATTGTAATCGGCCTCGATAGATCTCTGCGAGGACGTGTTGGGCCTTGGCATGCACCATTGGAGTCATGAGCGGTTGGTACAAGGCTGGATGACCAAACTTGGACGAGACCTTCTCGGGGTCCCTGGACTTGGCGTCCACCGCCATCCGTTCTTGATCGTGCATACCACCTCGAGAGTAGTACTTCAGGTCCAAATCGAACGTCTTCATGCAATACCATTTGAAGGCAAGCATGATAACAAGCAGCGGTGCAATTGCCGCAACAAGGGTCCATTCTCCTCTGGCTTTGACGACCACGCCAATAACAACATTGGAGAGCATCGTGGCAAATACGATTCGGTTGAACATAGTCGCCCAAAACTGACCGCCAGATTCGGTCTTGGTGATAAACACATACATGAGAAGGTATTTCTTCAGAAATGCGTCGATCACAAAATATAATGCGGTAACAACAAGCACAATCGGCTGGAGGGTAGAATAACAAAGGGCCACTGTGGTGTAGAAAAGGAAATAGTTGTAGTAGCTGGCATAGTCAAAGGCTGGAGGTTTCGTCCACTCGATGTTCTGTCGAGGAGTTGGAGCCAAGAATGTTCTCGCAAACCAGGTGTAGGTTAGTTGCCACAGCTGGGCTAGATCAGTAGCGGCGCCTAAAGTTCGCTGAAGGATCCAAGTAACCCAAAAGGGTGAGATCTGGCAGAGCGTGGTTGTGATCACAAGGAAGAACTGGCCTTTTCTCAGAGAGTCCCAGAGGTCGTTACTTTGTTTGTTGTACTGGATCACAATCGTCACGTATTGCCAAACAGCTGAAAAGATGGAAAATACAATCAAATTGTTCAGGGTGAAGAAGGAGTACAAGTTCCGAAAGACGTGTCGTTCTCGATCGGTTTTGGTCACATCTCCGGCACGGACCTGAAGGCGCCGAAAGATGCTCGGAAGCAGGAGATAAAAGAGCGAAGTAATCGCCGGCGCGGCAATACCCTGTACGATAGACCAGGCTGCATGGTGCGCTTCCAGCTGAGTTTTGAAGGCGGGCCAAACGAGACCCAGGTTTGACAAGTTGGAGAGGAAGATCGCTATCCCGGCGTTGATTGGGGTCCAGACGATTGTCAGGACGGCGATCCAGATGCCGTTCATCACCCGCTTACTCTTGCGCGAACCTCGAGACAGTTTTAGATTGTCCCAAATCAGATCGTTGGGTCTCGGTGCTAGGCGAATCTTGGTGCCTTGAGGGCGTTTGCTCCGTGCCTGGAATGCAACTGTATGTGCTTCAGAAATCTGATCCCAGCTGGCAAAGCCGTAAGACATAGCATCGCGATTGTCCACGCGGTCTCGGATATCGTTGATTTCCATCTCGAGGGCTCGGATACGGTCGGTGAGATAGTCAATGGCGTCGACCTTGCCATTCGTTGTCTGACCTCTGTATTTGCTGGGCGCCTTGATCGTTGGTCGGTTTGGTGGTAGCTTGTCTGGATTCTTCAAGTATTTCGCCAGAATAGACTCTAGTTCTCTGACAGCTTCCTCATGTTCCTCAATCAACTCTGGCAATACCTTCACGTTGCGTCCAATGGTCGTTTTCGGAACAGTGCCGGTCGGATTGACTTCGTCTGTGATTCGAGCGATGCCTTCGTTGCTTCGGAGCGTGGCCGGGATGTCTCGAATTAATATTGTCCGAGCATGTAGACTTCTCTGATACTCGGGGCTTTCCAGGTAGACCCGTCGCAGGTGATGAATTCGACGGTAATTGTGCCAGAGAAAGTATATCACCACCAAATCGATTAACCATGCCACGACCACTTGAGCCCATAACCCCCTTCCAAATATGAACAAGGGCGTCATGATGGCGAAGGCGTTCAGGCCATGTGTGATTGCCTTGTTCCCCTGTGTGACGTTAACGGGAATCATGACGACAATACCGATAATGCCCAAAACCAGGAACATGTTGCGCAGCATCCGGGTGAAACGCAGGAAGACGACCGCATCCATGCCGATTTTCTCCATCAGAAACGGTTCTGATGCTTTCCTGACAGGCGCGACCCAACTAAACAACCCTTTCCCCAATGGGGGAGGAGCGTGATCTTTGTCTGCGTTTTTCAGTCTTGGGGCATAAACGACATTGTTTCGAGGTCGGATGAGGCAAAATAGGAGAGCGAGACCGGCACTGAGTCCTAGTGAAGTGGCAAGGGAGGCCCAAAAGGCACCTGTTTGAAGCTGGAAAAGGTCAGCCGACAGATTCACATTTCCGGCTCTGGGAGTGTTCGTACTGAAGCTTGAAAAGGATTAGCAATCAATTGGAGGACCTGCTCTCCTTTTGATAGATCGGGATTGGGAGCGAACGAGGTTTGACGTGGAAAGAGTCCCTGAACGGCCGACATGGTGCTTGACTGGTTTTGCGTCTCTGCAAAGCAAAGATTTACGGAGGCGTTTGCATAATAGGGTTGCCGAAGAAAACGATTGAAAGCAACCTTGCCGACCAGCGCACTTGGGGTTGACGTCTGTGTATATCTGGGAACAAAAGAAGTGTGCCGATTGAGGAACAAAGGGTTCGGCCAAAGAAGGAGCTCAAATCGGGGGATAGTTAGCGAACGACAAAGACGCGTGAAAGGAAGGGTGTCTAAGGGAAATGAGCAATGAAAATGGAATATGCTGGAGTGGTGAGAGAAGACGAATGCTGGATAATGTACAAAAGATGAGGGTGCGTTGTTTCAGAACGGGGACTGCGAGATTGTAGCGACTGTTGTGTTTCAACCGCCCGATTGAGAATCTTCTCGCTAGCAGCCATTGCACCCACTGGCCTATGATGGCAGCCAAGACGCGTGCCCCTGGAACAAGGGTCCTGTACGCCTATATCCCCATTGGCCGCCGCCAAATCCTTCGGCTAGTTAGCTGCCTCCACGCCCACCGTCAGCCTATTGTAGCCCAGGACCGTGCCCCAGGCATGGCCAGGGTGCCCCAATGCCTGCAACCCTCGCCCCGAACGAAAATACCGTGTCTGCGACATGCGTGAGTGGAATGTACCTAAAGGTTCGTTGGTCTTTTTTCCCCTCCGCAGAATTTTCCGCCCGCTTCGTCCATCCAGAAGGAAAAATTCACTCATTCGCTAGGTCCCAACCATCACCACCGTCCTTCTCCATCTTACTCAGCAATTCCATCGCGATCCATCTTTGCTTCCGTCGGCCTCTCTGTCCTCGACCTCTCAAATTGTCCCACACTGTACGCACGATGACGCGGAAAAGACCTTGCTCTCAACAGACTTGCTATATCGATTCTTCGAGAATCGTCACTGTGCATAGGTAAACCGCTGCAACTTCCACCCATGTATCTGCTGTGGATGTATCGATAAAATAGCAAGGTAAGATCTGCTCTCATTTGTTCGATCGCCACAACGACCCGATGTCTAGGGTACCTAGCAAGTTAGGCAGAGGTTTGGTTTAACGTCGTTTCTTTTTACTCCAAAAAGAAATGGAACAGCTGAACTCCGCACTTCGACCACAGGTACGTGAAAGAAAGTCCCGTTCAAACTGCGGGCGACTGCCACTAGGGGGTCGCCGTCGTGTTCAGTTGCCTCACTTGCTCCCGTTCTTCGCTGCTCATCCCGGCCTTCTCCAACACCCAGGCGAGAATATCGTTTTTGGCCTCGCAATATTGGTCGACGTCCCTCCATTCTCGCTGGGCCAGCTCGAGCTTCGTCCGGCCATAGGCGTCTCGAACAGCGGGGTCGCTGCGACAAATATCCCGCACTCCCAGTTGATTTCTGATCGACTGG